TGATTAGTTGTGAAAACTTTCGTATCTAAGCCACAATCTGTGTAGTTGGGATACTTTCGCAATTCTTCAATTACATCGAAAGATTCTAAAAATTCGGACAATTTAATGGATAAAATATTATCTGTCTTTAAAGTTTCAAACGAACATCTACTATTAAACACATGATAACTAAATTGTTGATGTCGCATTGCCAAAGAATAACAAATGTTTCGAAAATTGTTGGTATTATGGGCTAACTAGTAAAATAATTATGTTTTCCTTCAAAGCGCATTGTCCATAAGGAGACAAGTGGACCCATCTTTCTTATAATGTACGGATAATGACAAAGAAAATGATGCTTAGGAATTAATCGATTATCAGGAAACAACTTTTTAAAAAGATTATGGTGATCAATAATGTTGCGACGAAGAGATTCAATTGTGGACTCTGAGAATTTTCTACAAAATATCAAGCTCATGCATTCTAACAATTTTAAAAGCAAATCCCAGTATTTTAGTTCTTCGTCGCTAATTATCAAATCTCTTAAAATAATTGGCAGATGTCTAATTAAGCACCAAGCTTGTGCTGCCTTTTGCCCTATTTTATTACCCTTCCCATCTAATTTAATTGGACTTGGGCGATTCCCAGATTCTAAGTAACCAAAATTATGAGCTAATAGACTTAAATTTACATTTTCCAAGGTGAAGGTCCCCAAACTAATTAATTTCTGCAAGACAATTTTAACTTCATAAGGAACCACCCCTTCTAGAAGGTCATGCATAATATCAGCGGTAGGAGAGTCAAGAAAATTAAAATACTGCAATTTGTTAAGCTCACATTCTGACTGTATACCAAAAGTTTTCGATGCAAGGTGGTTCTCATAATTATTTCTATCACGTATAACCATCAGATTATGGTCAAACGCATCTTGTGCCTCTGATTTTGAAGTGCAACAAATACGACAGTAATAATTGGAATTAAATGACTCGACGAAACCTAAAATTGAATTGCCTCCTAAATTATCGTGGACAACTGAACATATTGTTCCGTAAATTACATTCCCATTAATTTTAATACCATTGTTTTCTAGAATCTTAAGATCAGGTATCAGATGGCTTAAAATAGAATTAATCCCGTATTTTTTTGCATCTTCTGTATAAAATAAACCTAGCAAGTTGATTTGGCTCAATTGGGAATTAAAATAATCCGGAAGATTCCTAATTGTAAAATATAACCCTCCAATTTTATGGATAACTCGCTTTGAGCCCAATGCGTTAGCTGTCTCAAAATCATCATAAAATAATTGGAGCTGAATCGAATTGGGAAATTTAGAAAATAACTTATTGGATTTAAAACTTGAACTATCCTTAAAATATTCGTAACAATTACTTGCAACGGAACTATCAGAATTAAAAATTCTGGATCCAACATGAGATAAGAGAATTTGTTCTAAGGTTTTGAGTAACGGAATATACATAAAAGTGTCAGACACTACTACTTGTTGTCGCTTATTATCTCGGACACGAACCTCAAATCTCGAACCTAAACTTTTCTCAATAGGAAGAATAAACTTATCACTCCTCTCAAAAAATTTCTGGCGTTTATAACTAGACTTCATATTTACAAATGCCGATAACAATGCTGTGATTTGACACAAAAATTCTATATTATCATTAACTAACTGGCTGGACATCTTAATGATCAAATTTAACAGCTCAGAGATACAATATTCTAATTCTTTCATCACCAAATTTACAGTTGAATTTTTCACCCCAGTGGACAAAAGTGTGGAGCAAAATTTAGCAAGCAATTCGGTCAAAATTTTTTTACCTAAGTCTACGGAAATGTTTTCACGAAGCTCCAAATGTTCTAATTCTAATGATGGATTGCTAATAACAGAAGGAGTTATATTGTTTTCATTGTCCTCCAAAATATCCGTAACATTATTATCTATAACTACCCCGTGTGATTTTATGTGACGCAAAAATCCACTCCATGTACTAATTTCTACACTACAAGAGATACTAGGGCAAACTAATTTTGGGAATTTAAGGTGGCCAAAAAGATGGAAGTATTTTAAATGTTTTACTATCTCGCTAACCCCTGCAAATATCCTACCACATTCAGGACAGGTAAACATTATAGCTAATCTGTATTAATAAAGTTGCACAATTGTGCAAATACTTCTTTAACTTTGCGTGGTAGGTGGGTAGTTTCTACGTCTAACTTATAAATATAAGCTTGAATGAACTTCCAGAATCCAACGAGATTCTTGTCATATTCAGTGGCTAGGACGTAATGGGTTTTGAAAAGTGTGTCGATAGCTTCTGTTGAACTCTTGGCGTTAATGGGGATGAGCACTCTATCACAAACGATGAAGTAAGACGAAATCGCAGCTGACGATTCACCAATGCAGACTAAATTTGGCTGCGTCTTCCCAGAACTCCACGTGTCCAACATCAATTCCAATGGAGTAGGACTCTGTAAAGATATACATAAATTTAATAAAACATTTATTGTTGATAATTAAAATGAGGTTAATTAGTATTTAAAATAAATAAATAATTAGAAAATTGCAAACTTTGTAAAAAGATACGACTAGGTTTCGTGCGTCCTCAATTTTAGCACGACTCCCTTTCCCCTTCCCCTGTGGTGCCGGAGGAATTAATTGCAGTAGTGCAAGCAACGCAAAAATTGAGTCATCCCACTTTCCTATGATAGAATGTTTACCCGTTATTTCAATAATTTAATTACAATATAAATTAATTTAAAACATTATCTCAAGAATTGTAGAAACGAACCAGATTCTGTGGCAAGAAATTTCTTTAACGCTGGAGTGACCTCGATCCCCTTCACGTGATTAATTAAAGTCGTCGAAAAAGTTGGCCACGCATCGAGGAATTTATTCGCAGAGTCTTCAAACATCAAAGAAAATTCTTGATTTATCTAAACAAACATATTTAAATTAAATTAGGCGACAGTGGAAAACATTCAATAGGCTAAATGTTACCAGAAAATCGTACTCTGCAAATTTTGGGTACAATTTTAGAAGGGACGGATTGCTGGTTAGTCTCAGCTGAGCACGATGTGGCAAAGTTTCTTTCATTAGTCTTGAAATCTCCGGTAATCCATTTTTTGGACATGTACTATTTAATTCTTGGATAAGTAAATCAAAATTGGATGTGGTCTCTGCAACTATACTTTCGAGTTCTTTGGAAGTGGGCCACCAGAATCTAGTTCCAATCTCTTCCTAGTTGGTCCACGTGTAATTGTGTCTCCGCATTTTACATTTTTGTGAATAGTTCGAAGTCTCGCTTGTACTAAAAGAAGTAAACCGGATCTGTTGACCTCATCGTATAAGATATCCTAAGAGAGGTACTATAAATTTTCCCACAGAACCTTCAATTAATAAAAATATTATTACTCACGATTCCGTCTAACGTCCCAGGATACCGCCATGCTGGAACGAGGTCAACAATAGCTTTTGCAAATAACTTTTGTTCTCTGGTGGATGGTGTTTCTCTGTAGAAATAATATGGAATAACAAATTAAGAAAATATTATTTGCAATATTTACTTGAGACAATTTAGTTAATTAATTGATATTTACCCTTTAATACGAACTAATCTTCCAACAAATTCTTTAATCAATGTTGATACAGCTGATGGCTCCACAAATTTTTTTACTGTTGCATTCATGTACAAGATTTTCCAACTCAGAATTCTGTTCCATGTGCCAGACCAGAATCTAAAAAAAATGCGTCAGAATAAATTTAAATACTGAAATTACTTGTTAAAAAATAACCTACCTGTTTATAATTTTCGACTTCTTGGGCGGCGGTTGGACTTGCGATGGTTGAGAAGCTTGAACTTGAAGGATTATTAACTAAAAAATTAAGCATTTTTTAGTTAGTATTTAATCATAACCGCAATTTGTTATTTAAACTTAACAATTTGTTGACGTCTTACCATAAAAAACCGCCTGTGAGCAATTGGGGGTAATGTTCTCAGTTGTGGACAAAACTCCTCCCTTTATTTGGAACACAACGTTCGGAATAGACGACTGGCCTACAAGTAGTGGGAAGACTTCACTGTCGATTTCAGTCCCTTCTTCGTCTTCGAGTTCGATACAATCGCCTTCCTCCAAGTTGAACTTTGCTCTAACTTAAACAGAAAAGTATTTTATATTAATAAATTTTTACAATTATTATTGTATTGAGAAGAAATCTAAATTAAAAATATATTTTCTTACCATTTGACAAGAATCCAATATAATCTGCATCAGCATCGCAGGGGACAAATGTCTTCCCCCTTGTAATATTTGAAACTCTGACTAATTTTGTCATCACGGTTATTAATTAATTTTCTACCAACCTGATGGGAATCGAGCCAAGGAGAATGCCGGGGCGAGACTGGTGCATTACCGCGCTGGAGGAAGAAAGGAGACGCTCTCACTTTTACCCCTTTAGTAGAAATATATCACGACATGGTAGAATATCTGGTAAAAGAAGGCTACCATACTTATTTCCAGTCTGGTTGCATTATTAACGCAAACTGGTAACACAATTGGTAGCATATTTTCTACCACGGATGGTAGTGTGTTCTATTACTAGATTCGTGGTAATACACGTTATTAGGAATGTATTACCAGATTTTTCTGAGTGTACACTGTTTTCCAAGACGGAATGAATTGTAGCTAATTTGCGAAGCAATTAGATTAAAGACATTTTGGATATCGAAAGTTAACTATTTTAAGGCTGTGCAAAATCAGTTTGAGAATATAAGAGTTTACTCCAAGGTCTATGGAATTTATAAGGTCTGACGTTTTTATTAATGTTCAGTAGTAGGGTTTGATGAAGATGGATACTTTGTAGACAATTAGAAATTTTCACTGGATTTAAGGAAACTTCTAAATATGTCTATTACCAAACACATGTTTATGCTGTAAAATGCGTAACCCATGCGTATGGATTTCTGGCCATAATGAATTTTTTTGCTTTAGTAGTTTTATTTATTACTGTCGAATGGTAATTCAGATTTTATTTTCATATCCTCTAGTAACATTAAATTGCTAATTTTATTCATTTCAGATGTAACCGCCATTACACATTCTTTCATTTCACCTTTCTTTCTTATGTCGTACTCGCCGCCATGGTAGTTGTCGCCGCCAGAGTAGTTGTCGCCGCCACCGTTGTACTCGCTGATGGAGCAGTTGTTGCAGTTGCTTGGTCACTGAATATTCCCACTCATGGTATCAAATCGTCCCAACTTACAAATTAATAACCAACTTACTAGCAGATGGCGCCACACGCACAACCAGCCGGATCCTTGCAAAAGCTCTTCACCACTGACGGCATTCCATGATAAATTTCCCACGTGTACTTGCACGAAAGGAAGGTAGAGCAATCCCTTCCGCAAGTACCGGCCTGGGTAGCTGCAACCGTCGTCGTCGCAGCGGCAGAGCCAGTCCTGCAAATAAAACATTTATAAAAAAGTTAACAAATTTATAGTTTTCTGAAAAAAGTTTTAAATAACCTACCCAGTCATACAAGCACAACTGCAACCTATCGGCTTGGTACACAAGGACTCTGTAGATGGACTGTTGAAATAATTGTACCAGCTGTTCTTGCACTGCAGATATTGCCAGCACTTATCCTTGCACGAGGAACCCTGACCATTAGCCGTGCAGACAAGACCTACAGCCAGGACAATCAGAATGGTCGATTTAGAAACCATTTTCTTCAAAATGTTAAAGTTACTCGTAAATTTATTAATATTGATGGATAACTGGTGATGACTGATGCCTGGATCTGTCTTCCTAGTTCGTTATATATCAGCTTTGCTCAAAAAGACAACAATTATTTTCTGTAATATCAAAGAGAACGTGGCAGACAATAAGACTCACACAAAACAATTCTAATTCAATTTTGAGGTTTGGCCGGATGCGCAGGGGGTATTTTCATTTATCAAATTTTCCATTTCGTATCGTACATTCTGGTGATCTAACGAAAATTAAAAAAATATGCGAGTGTTGAAATATTTCATCCCATTGTGTGAGCAGATGTCATTAGAATGAAAATGCTTGTTATTAAATCTAAAAAGTTGTTACCATCCACAACAAATAAGTTCCTTTTACGCATTACATTTTCAAAATACCCACACGTGGGTAACCGGTTTGAGCTGGAGCCATCATTTTAATATGAATAGTTAAACTGGTGCGTCTAAATATCTGTAATACGTAGATCAGGGTTGATAAAGCACGATTTGTGCAATTATAATTTGTACATTTCCTCAGGGCTGCAAATAAGGTGGTATGTAATAAATTACTACCGATTACAATGACTCTAAATCTTTATCCTGTCGGCTAAAAAAGGGGTACTGCCTAGTGATTGTATGTAAAGCTTTGCATGATATTATGCGTAGTTGACAAGTTGGTTTATGGTTTTGGAGTACCCAATAGTATATCGTAGTACTAATTCTGAAATAACATAAGTGCACTCGATCATTAATTCCGAAATGACATAAGTGCAGTCGATGCTTAATTCCGAAATGACATATGTGCACCATAATAACATGTAAATAGCCTGCACCTATGTCATTTCGGAATTAAGCATCGACTGCACTTATGTCATTTCGGATTTAAATATTGAGTGCACTTATGTTATTTCAGAATTAGCACGACAATATGCGAACGTATATTTCAAGATATGCCAGGCTTTTCTGCATCTGGCCCACTATACAAGATTATGTCAAATTATGGATCTTTTTACCCTACCTACCTAGGTATAGTTTTGAAGACTATGATATATATTGCAAGGCAACTTATTTCTAAGGTTACAACGCTTTATTCAAAATTAATTACTATTATCTAAATCAATCAAATTAAGCCAATTAGTCATTGATACGGGTCAACCTTTTAATATTATATGTGGCCTAATTATTTGATGGCTTGTTAATTAAGCCAGGGCTCCAATGCACACATCAAATTTCTGTCACAAGAATGTATGGTTTGCAGTTAAAGTCGAAATTTTATTGACAGGAAGTCTGACCAAAAAAATTACAAGATAATAAAATACAAACCATGGGTAAATATGTTCAGCTTAATACGTTTAAGAAGTCTTAATGAACAACTTCATTAGCTGCCGACCTTTAGTCACAATCTATGCGTCCTAATTACTTGCAAGCTTTAATTAGTATAATCTTAATTACACAAGCATAAAGAAGCAATTATCTAAATTTGCAGAAGAGAGCCGCAAATCCTTAATGGCAGCCACATAATGGACATCGCTATTATAAATTTCGAAAAAACTATTATCAAATTCCAATTATTTTACAAATTTCCCCCCATTTACGGTACTCCTAAAATAAATCATACTTCTGACAAGGAGTGGTTACGAAAAATCCCTCTGCTTAATAAACTCCCCGAATATGCCGCCTTCAAAACAATCAGCTTCTTCAATCTTGTCTATATTAGCACGGTTTGCATTATTATCGTCTTTGGTCTAAATGGAGATTTAAATATTAGTTTAGGCCCCCTGCTTAATCAGTGCATGACTGGTTGCGCAGCTCTGTTGCATTTCTGTTGTGACACTCTTTTCTTTTCAAATCCGGCCTGGGTGACAAGAGGACTCAAGGGCATGAGTAAGAATTTGGTCTTAAAATTAAAATTAATAATATGTACTAGGTGAGAAGCCCGTCGCAAGGACAGGCAGATGGAAAAGATTTAGAAAATAATATTATGCATAAAACGGCCGTGTCTGTCTGGTTGTCTGTCTGCCGTCAAAATCCCGTATTACCGCATAAATCTCACATTGCTTCAAATGCCAATATTCAGATTTTTGGGGTCACGTGAAACTTTCGTTCCTCAGCAAACATACACAAACCAATCTCATATCAATGAATGACTTAACTGCACTCCTAACATTAACAACTATAACCATACAACTCTTATTCCAATATATTTTCTTTTGTAATTGCAGATGAAAAAATGCGTCCACAGGTAACCCATTTATTAAAAAGAAACCGCCGTGAAGTCAAATTTTACGCCGTAGGACTTCACAATTCTTTGCATGGATGGCTCGGTACTTGCCTTATCATAGCATTTGCTCCACTATTCTCCAAGCTGGACACTGGCTACTTCATTTTGACGGGATTAACAAATTCATCCCCATGGGTTCAGTCCATGCCGGGAAAAATATGCCGTACCATTCCCTGGATATTTCTATCGTATCACTGGTTCACCGGACTAAACCTCGTCCTCTCCGCTCTCATTGAGTGGGTGCTCTTATCATCAAAAATCCTCACCTCCATGGCATCCAGGAAACGTTTGGATAAGTTGGAATACGACAAAATCTCGATTTTGATAGATCACGCCAACCGATTAATTTCCCACATATTTACTTCCTCCATATTCCTCATATCTGCCGTTAACATCGGCACAGTGAACATGATGATTAAGCACTCCGACAAAGTTCCGGCAGTCTTGTTTCCAGCCTACCTTGCCACGAGTGCGATGATTTCATACATTACAGCGGTCTTTTTGATATTTGCTGCCAACGTATTTAAAAACTCGAGGGAATATATTAGATCCTGGAATGCATCTCTACGGCCCGGCAAGAACTTCGGGTATAGGAAAAAGGTTATGAAATCTATGAGAACCGTGGGATTTAAGATGGCAATGATGGGCGTGGTCAAAAAGACCTTCGTCTTGGAGACGTATTCCGAGTGGCTTGATAAAATCATTGACACGTTACTTATGTTTGACTAGATTATCTTACCAGTTTTAAGTTGGTGAGATTCGTTAGGTGAAAAAGTCCGAGTTAGGGTTGGGTGGATTTACATTATAAATTTCATTATTAAATGATTAGCATTCAAAATCATTAATTTGTTTGTTGATAATAATTTATGTAAATATGTACATATGTACATGATAAGTAATAATTTAGTTTCCTTTGGCCTATTTATCTTGCTAATTGCGCAATCCGTAAATGCAAAACAGAATAATTGGAACGAGATTGAGGTAATAGCTGGCAATGAAGATGGAGATAAAGTGGGTCCGGTAAGTTTCTACACTCAAAATAATATTTTAATGAATCAGAGTCACTATGATGCTATACTGATAATCTGATTCAAAACCGATAATAATAAGGCAATAACTTTTTGTCACAAACGTAATAAGTTCCTATTTCCCGGAGTTTATTATTCCTGGTTTTGCAACAGATTATCGCCGGTGCATCATAGTGACTCCACACATTTTTTCATCCGTAATGAAGGGTTCCGAGCAATTTCCGTCCGAGTGAAGGATATGATTAACTGTGAATATTCATTACAATATTATTTATGGTTCAGCAAAATAAATTACTTCCATACAGGCTGATCCTGGAAGATCTTCATATTGGGAAACAATTTTTTCTTCGGTGACGCAACAGCCAGAAACCTGGGCCCCGCACGAACGACAAAAACCTCAGCAGTTGGGGCCCGGCGTAGCCAGAAGATTGCTAACAGACCGAGCACGCAGATGGTCCCAGTGAAGTTTCTCCTAAACGATGCGTCGTAGAGAAAAATGACAAGAGACCAAATAGTTAGAGAATTCAATTTCCCATGGTGGCAAAATTTGGATTTTCGAAATTTTGACTCTATCTATTAGAACTCGCTATTGCATTGATGATTTCAACGTAAAATTTAAACTTTCTTATTAGACATAGCAGTTTTTTAGATAGTACAGGTCAGGATATATATTTTTCGTATTTAACATTTTTGCGTAAAACTTAGATTGAAAGATTGAGAGACAATTTAAAATCTCTAATTGAGTTATCTATGTATGGATTAAATATATGGAGCAAGTACTCACATGTGATGACTTCGTGGTGCAGGGGATGAGAATTGGCTATTAAACTTTGGCGTCGTGGGTTCGATTCTTATCGTGTTTACTTTTTGCATTATTTTTTGGAAACTTCTGGGCTGCTCACTTATAGATTATATTGTTCTCAGATCAATTAAATATTTGACTGCAAGCAAGTTCATTAATTTTTGATGAATTATTTCTGATAAATTACAATTTATTAAAATAATTTAATTTTAATCTGCATAAGTACATATCTATAATTTTTCCTCTCAGCTTCAAAACTTTGCTTGTATTTTCCGTTCTTAAATACTCTTTAAAAATTTTGAATTTAATTAATTTAATATTCCATATTTTTCCATCAGATTTTCCATTAAATTTTCCAACTAATTATCCACATCCTATACTGTTTTACCATAAAAAAATGTGAATTGATTTTGGTAACTCACCAAACAAATTTTCAGGACGAAAATGGAAAAAATGGGCGAAAACCATTAAATATGGCCAACTGTCGTTTCCAGCAAAGATTATCAGGAAATAATTTGATACCAATTAAATACATATGTTTTTGCATAAACCAAGTATTTCAGAGAAAATTAATTATCCTTTGTATTTAGACTTATTTTATAAACAATTGGATTATGTACCAGTTATTGGAACCACATGAGAGTACAATTTGCATCACTGTATTAATAACAACTACATCATTGCAGTTTTTATCATGTGGTATAAAGGGTATGCGTATAAGTATTTCTTGTCTTTGGGACTGGCTTACGTATACATGTCTTATGCAACATTTTTTTTTATCAGACCGTGATTTAACGAATCGGCTCCGTACTTACTTACGTTACGGAAGTATCCAACGAGATGACTCATTCTCGCTTCCAGCCTCGCCCATTCATGGCAAGAAGGTTATTTATCTCATTTCCTAATAATTAGATTTTTAAACTATACGTTGTGCTGACGATAAATAATATTTAAAATGAAGTTTACTGACGTGAGTTGGAGGGCGATAATTGGTGGATTTAGAAAATGTTCCCATCCATCTTATAAAACGTGCGAATATAAAATAACCGAGATTCTTTCAGCCATTGTCTTGTTAATATTGCTCATAATTGGTGGTGTTGAAATAAATCCAGGTCCATCAATTAAAACGAACAAGGTAATTAAAAATTAACATTGAAATCCTGTACCAAAATTTAAGTATTCAGCTATGGCGAAACTTTAAATATAAAACTACGGATATTGTCTAATTGATTTATTGTTTAGGTCACATTTCTTGACATCTCTTTCCGGCTGATTATGGCTAATCTTGATGACTGCGTTGGAAATAAAAATACAAGTCACGCCACTTCCCGATGGGGACATCTCAGTCAAAAGTTGATGCAAAATAACCTCTCCGCGAATTTCTTTCGAATTTTGAAAAATCTGTTCCCACATGTGACCGAGTAATCTTAAACCCGTACTTGTAAACAAATATTTTTTCTAAACTTGCCATTCTTAATGAACAAAATTCCATAAACTTTAGATGAAATATGCTGACACCACGTTGTCGAATATCCTTGAAAAACTGAAAAAATTAACCGATGCTGAATTGTCGGAATTAAATTTAAATTTAACAAATTCAGTTTGGGGTTTCCTTGCTGTTCAAATCTATGGAACCAACTCCTCTGATTGTACATGTTCATCGATAAATAGTAGACTAAACTAACTACATATTTTAGTTAAAAGTAAATTATCATCGAAAAAAATATAAGTTATTTTATGTAAAACACCACCATTGACGCAAGCTATTAATTTTGCGTACAAAATCATTAAAATTTAATTAAAAATACATGAAATTTGATTAATGGTAAATTTAAAATTTGTTAAAATTGAAATAGTTAGAAATAAAATCAAACCACTAGAACTATATTCTACCATTATCGGTCGGTGATTACTTACGTACGTAATAATTATTACACCATCGTCTCAGCGTGGGACTTTGTTTACGCAACTTATTATAAATTTGTACATAATTAGTCAATTCTAAAGGGAATAAGTACTAAATAAATAAAAATAGACAGATTGTGAAATTTTCCTAACTCAAAACTAGGAAAATATTTGGGAAGAATAACTTTTGCACGGATTCATGCGGTTGCAAATCCCAGGCGGGTCCTGTTCAAAATCAAATATTATATACTAGGCTATAGCCCGTGTAAAACACGGGATCCGTTTTATTTTTTTGAATGGGTTACTATTCTGCAACCGTATCAAATCAGGATCAGAACGCGATCGGCTGGATAGATTGGTGATAACCTTTTGCCCTTCCTGAACCCGGGACACGACTATTCATTCATCCAAATGCGTTTCTATCGTGATTTTATCGCAACAGGCGACTACTTATTATAAAAAAATCTCACGTTGCTCCACAACATCTCTCGTTGCCCTACAAAGTCTCACGTTGCCCCACGGAATCTCACCCTGCCCTATAAAGTCTCACGTTGCCCCACGGAATCTCACCCTGCCCTACAAAGTCTCACGTTGCCCAACAAAATCTCACGTCCCCCCCTCTAATCTCACGTTGCCCCATACAATTTTAATTTGCAAAACAGGCAACTGCTGCCCATGGCAAGCAGTTTGGCTTAGCATTACCCTGCCCCAGACCTTGCCTATGGCAGTGCCATGGCAATGGCAAGCACTGCGGCGACCTATCTTTTGCTTTTCCAGGCCTCGCTTATGGCAATTTGGTCCTCAGTGCTATCCTTCAATGCTAAGTTTTTCTATACATTGAAGGGATGCGTTCCGGTCAGACAGACAGACAGATAAACAGACAGACATACAGACAGAGAATGGACTAATCTTATATAGAATATAGCAAATTAACTATATAATCAACGCAATTTTATTATAATTATACCTCATCATGCGACGACTGACGAATATGTACACAATCAACAATATGACAATTATTGCCAGAACGACGGTTCTAGAACACGAATACTTTTATTACTTTTGAATCTTTCTTTGTCATAAACACTTACATAATTTCGAAGAAATAAGCTTTAAGGAAGTCGAAAATTTGCCAAGTCAAGTTCTGAATATCCTGCGCATCATCAATTTCGGGAACAAAGTCCACAATTATATCACTTAAATTTTTAGCCACATTTTTGGCATCCATAATTTCTTCATCGGTCACGTCTGGTATTTCGTTATCCACGGATGAAACAGATATGTCGGCAATCACTTCGCTAATGTCATCAAACGTGTCACTATCAGACGATTGAGATTTTGTCGTCGTTAATGTGGTGGCTTTTAATTCTTGATTGTTTTGTACAAAATTGCCGTGGTCCTTAACCATCTCCTGGATGACATCGTGATAACCGTCAGAATCCGACGGAATGTCAAGAAATGTGCTCGCATTATGGGAAAATAGGATAATTAAAAAGAGAGCAAACATTTTTACAAAAGTTTTTAAGGGGCATCTCTGCCCGTGACATGAAACTGCGTGAAAATTTCACATTTTTAATAATATCTCGGTGTTGCGAATTATTAAAAAAAATATGCTTCTGTATCTTTGTAAAGCAAATCGTTGGGAATTTTTTAAAGGTATTCACTCCAGGTTTTAACAGTTGTTGAAGTACTTCTATTAGTTTAAAAACACGCATTTTTAACCAAATAGAACTTGTCCAAAAATTGTTAAAACCTGGAGTGAATACCTTTAAAAAATTCCCAACGAGTTGCTTTACAAAGCTACAGAAGCATATTTTTTTTAATAATTCGCAACACCGAGATATTATTAAAAATGTGAAATTTTCACGCATTTTCATGTCACGGGCAGAGATGCCCCTTAAGATTTAGACTCCCAGCTGTGTGAAACGCTGTTGCGAGACTGATCCTCAAATATGCATATGTATGGTTTCGCACATATTCATACATTCGTACATGTAAATTTATAAGATGTTTCATTTAACTGAGTATAAAATTCTATCTGCAGAGTATATAATTGCAGTTGCATATGTACAACCATCACGCAAATAATGCTACCCCTTCCGAGCTTTGCCGATCTACATTTTTTATGCAAAGCTTATGTACATACATTTTTTATGCAATATTATAGATGCAAATGATATATTAGCTGCTCAAAAAAGATATTTGACTGAATTGACAACATATTTATTAATAAATAATCTCGATTCAGATTACTTGATAGAGTAGATATATATTTACATCTACAAACTATAAAATAAATTACTTTTGTAAAAAAACAATCTTCGGTGACGTGTCATAATTCACGAACAAAAACATAAAACAAGATGTTTTCTCTTTAATGATTTGACAGAGATCGGCCTTCATTGATATAATTTAAGATATACAGAAATTGTAGAATTCGCATAACTGAAAGGTTGCTTCACCGTGGGCCCATCATATTTTACAAAATGATTCACTTTGGCCGTAGAGAACTTATTTGAAACTTAACCTTGAAATGAACTTAAATTTAATCATGACTTGACGCCCTCTAATTAATGTTTATTTATGCATAAGTATTAGAAAATATTTACATTTGTATTCATAAATGGAAATTTTCCCATTCGAACAATTTAGATATTTATGTACGTGGATAATATTATAATAAATAAATGCACTGATATATTACAGTTAGGCCTATAATTTACATTGAAACTATACAACTTTTGAATGGACCTGAAACTAAATTTTCATCAGTTTAAGCAAGTTATCTCATAAAACTCGCCAATTTGACTTCAATAAGTGCATCTTTCGCGGTAAGATTTTCAACTCGTCGTATTTGTGATTTTACCCCTACCCGAAACAATGTATATATTCAAGTAAAATATGATGGGCCCACGGTGAAGCAACCTTTCAGTTATGCGAATTCTACAATTTCTGTATATCTTAAATTATATCAATGAAGGCCGATCTCTGTCAAATCATTAAAGAGAAAACATCTTGTTTTATGTTTTTGTTCGTGAATTATGACACGTCACCGAAGACTGTTTTTTTACAAAAGTAATTTATTTCCAAGTTTCATTACTTACGACTAGCTTAAAGCTGGTGCAAGAACCGTTTGTCCCGGTGATCAGCATTCCAACTCTGCGGACGGGATGAAAAAGAAGATAAAGAATATCAGTAAGTAATATTTGTCGCGTTAGCCCATGCTGCTATGCGCTTGTCTTTTTGCCATTGGGACTCAGGTTCGAATCTCCCTTTGAAAACTTTTTGGACATAAATATGGAGTTTAATGGACTATTATTTTGTTGCAAATAATCGGGCTAAGAAGTACAAATAATTTCAAATTTGCAAAATAATAGACCTTAGATGCGTCTGTTATCCAAATTTGGGATAAGGCATGGGACCAAAATGAAGCCAAATAATTATTTTCGGGTAAGATAAATAAACCGGCTGAGAATTCGGTTTGTTGGATTTTTATTTATCTATTGTGCTAGCTATTGGTTACCTATGCGAAATAGGTAACATATTTGCTGAAATCAAGAAACTCGGTTGCGGTTCGATATTTTTTCCAAATGTTTGGTTCGGTTTCATATGTTACTTACTTTTAATATAATTCCATAACATTAAAATACATGCATTGCGACTTTTACGTGCGGGAAACGTGAGATTGCCTTATCGATGCAAATTTTGAATAAAGAATTTAATATTTACCTTTGAAACAGCATGACAGTTTTATATATGTATGCATACTGTATTCAATACAATGCCTTACTATTCTACGGTTTAAATATGTAAAGTAATTGTCCCACACTAAAAGCATGTCATATAATATCTGTCCGTACCGAATCCGAAGCCTAAAAAAATAAAAATAGACATCCAAATTATCCCCAAAGTAATGAAATAAATAACTAAAAATCTAACCTAACCGGAACCTTGGCTGACTTAGCTTCTCCGAACCGAATCAGCCGGCCGGGTTTCTGTTGTACATGTTATTAAGAATTTGGATAACGACTCCACTCTAGCATGAACGCAGATTAACACGTAGATGAGTAATTTTACTAATTAAATGTACAGCTTTGCAATAAATCATGGCCGGCTGAATTCTATATAAGACTAGCCCATTCTCTGTCTGTTTGTTTGTCCCTCGGTAACGCATCCCTTCAATGTATTAGACAACGATAGCATTCAAAGATAGAGGAAGCATTTTCAGCACAGATATTCCAGTGGATTTAATGTTAGTTTGCGGATACATATAGAATAGAGAACATCGGTACAGTTTTGTATCCACCGTTAATTTATCTAAGTTTTAGGTCTCCTGGCACGTTGTTTTGCGATCAGATCACGATCGGAACGCGTTCGGATAAATCAATAGTTGAATTTTGCAACTTGATATTATATGGGGCAACGTGAGATTGGGGGAGGGGGGGGGCGAGATTTCATGGGGCAACGTAAGATTTTTTTAAGAATAAGGAGTCCTCGGATTTGCGATCAGAACGCGATCTGACGAATGAGTATTCGTTCGTGTCCCGTGATCGACAAGGGCAAAAACCTATCACACATCCATACATCCTATCGCGCTCTGATCTTGATCCGATCGCAGAACAGTAACCAATCCGAAGAAATAAAACGGATCCCGTGTTTTACACGGGCTATTGCCTAGTCTGTAATATTTATCTACCTGAGGTCATGCACACATTACTTAAAATTGTTTCCTTATCTGGAGAAGATAGCAATTCGCGTAATCATTTTAATTGAAAAAACCAATTGGCTCAATATATATTAGGCCCAAGTTGTCTCGCAACAAAAAATTGTTTCATATTACGCAACTACGGCGTCATCTACATACAAGGTGCTATTACATAACATATTTTATAACAGAAAATCTTTTTGATTTGAACATGAGCATGCATACGCCATTTATATGCTGTTTTATGTTTCAAATTTTTAATTTTGCAAAGTTCACGATTTTAGTACTTCAAACTGTTCTTCTAGAAATATTCATGTTAGTGTAACAAAAATCGTGCACCGTGACGCGATAGCTATATTTCCTCCAATTTCCTTGCCGTATCCAATAAAAAATACTAGTGAATGTTAAAAAAGCATCAGGTTTTAGAACGAGTTTAAAACACATTTATATATATGTAAATGTGTACTTAAATATCAATGGGTACATACTTTATTCCCTCTGTACATGTGAATTTTATACAATTTATTACTCTGTCTATGTGATTTGATACATACAAGGGTTCAACGCTTGAAATAGAAGCTAATCCGTAACCTAGGGTTACGTTACTTTGGTGTATGAAAGTTCGATCGAGTTACATATCTATCTAAAGCTCTTTCTATTCTACGTGAGGTCACCCCACGTCAACTTCATCATCTCATTTCCATCTCTCTCTCATCATCATCATCACCACCACAAACATCTTGCCCACAACATTCACGTACAGTATGTAAAAGAATTCATCATACACCCTGGATTTTCGTAAAAATGGACTTATCTATATAACTGTTTGCAATAATTATAAGACAACTTGTGCATTTATTCTTTAGGATGTGTGCTATTAAAAACCACTAATTTGAAAAATCCTATGGGGCAATTAGCAACATAATAGGTTCCAAAGGTTCTTCTGGAAACTGTGAACTTCAAAGTTTCCAGAACCGTTTAAATTTTTGAAATCCTTCAAAAATCGACCGAGCAGTAGTAATTTGAATTTTTCATGTGTTGAGTTTTAATCACGAAAAAATAGTTCTAATTTTAAAAAAAACGTACCATAAAACCATAGGCTAATTACCAAAATTCAATGAACTAACCGTCTACTCATCGTCTCCATTTTCTTCATTTGCACTCTCGTCGGCTACTGCCCTCTCTCTCTCTTCCCAGAGCACTTTAAGGTGTGGATAGCAATTATAAGTGAGCACAGTACCAATAGCTTTATCAGTACCTTTTTCTGACCTTAATGCATTTGCCAAAGTACGATTCATTCGAATACAACGTCCACAGAACTGTTCGAACAAAACGCGCGACTTGCAATTGCGGAGAAAGACCACGAGCGTGACACGAGCATTGTCATATCCTTCTCGAAGCATTCCGCAAACGACAACAATTTTCTTTTTATGTTCATCAAATAGTTTTAAGTTTTCGTCGCCTTCTCGTGTAGATATCACGTAGGTTGCATCAGGCCCCAAACCCTCAGCTGTATCTATAGCCTCTTCCTGGGTAGTGACGAGAATCATGGCCTGTGGTGCGTCTTCTTTAACAAGCCTCCTTTCCTGCCCTACGTGCCTGGCCAGGGCCTCCTCGATATCTGCGCGAAGAGCTTCGAAGAATTCGAGACCGCTGAATGGTTTGTGAAGCATCTGCTTCATTTCAAAGCTGCACTTCCGTATGGTAAAACCTAAATGCATATAGTATAAAAATTAATTCAGTTTTTATCCAGCCTAGGTGTTAGGGCTGGCACTCAACGGGGTGAGGCACGCAAGTATTTAAATTTTCAATTGCTCGCGTTGCGAAACTTGCACAACGTAAAAACCGTTCATAGATAAGCTATTTCATTAGTACGCTGATGTTTTCTTGCTCGAAATTCTCAAAAATGAGTCCTTCCTGTTCAATTGAAGTGGAGGTACTATTGAAAGAGTTCTCATGTCGGGGTTGAACAGGAAGTGTAGTAACCATAGGGCGGATATGTATGTACTTATATTCCTCAAAATATGTATGTAATATGTACTTAAAAAACGCGAAAATATGCACGTAAAACATATTTTTCAACCGAAATTTTCTACTATATTTACATTTAATTTTCGAAAAGTTTCAAATTTGTAACACTCTTATTAATGAATTATTATGTATAGTATTTTAATATTCATGTAATGACCCATAAAACGACATTAGCCGTATTTAGAGATTTTCAGGGGTAATTTTATGACTTGAAAAATGGGGCAAAATGGATTTGCTAGTCGTTCACACGAATTAAACTCCGTTATCATGAAAGTACAATTTTTATTCAACTCTAACGTCTGAAAGAAGAAAAATATTTTTTCCTCAGAAAATCCTGAAATATGCATTAAAATATTGATATTTAGAAAAGGGCTCGAAATATGTACGAAAATATGTGTATTTACGAAATAACCTCAAAATATGTATGAAAATATGTATATGTACGAAAACTCTAAAATATGGAAAATATGGAAAACCATGTCTGAATTTTTGAAATCATGCTTCGATGGGATGTGAGTATACGAAGTTTTAGTAAGATCTGATTGGGAATGAAAAAGTTAGAAATACATACATATCCGCCCTCTGGTAGTAACAAATATACTTAGGGCACGTGGACATGAAATATATTTAGTCTTGGTTTAAAAATTATTAAATGGTATTGGAAGACAAGCAATTAATCAGAAACCGCAACCGCCCCCAAAAAGCCACTCATTACAGAAATACCAAATGACTTAAAAATCAGGCTCAATTGTTTGATCAATCATGAAAACCTGAACATTTGGATAAATTCAAACGGAAGAGGGCAAAATTCTAGGGTTTAACAGACGGTTGCCGGAAGTATTAATTAGCAGAATTGTAATAAATTTCGAACATTTGTAAAATTTCCATTAAAAATAATATAGGAAATTACCCATTAACGATTTTTGGTTATCGTAGCCTTTGGGAATAAATTAATTGGTCATAATAATGTACCCTGATAAAACAAGTCTTATCGAAATAGACAAAACAAACCATTATTTTGTTTTGTTGATTGGTGAAAAACAAAACGAAACAATGGCAACCCTGCATAATAAATGTAGAGAAATTAAAAATTGTTAGTTATGCGTAGTATTGATATTGAAAATTATTATGGAATCGAATTTCCATGGTTGAAATAAAGTTTCTTACCCTCGAGCTCTTCGCGTTTAATTTCAAACACTTTGTCTAATGTTCCTTGCAAAATTTCTACCAACGGTTCATTATCCTGGAACGGGGTTGCTGTAAGAAAAACTATTTTCTTCCCGTCAAAACAATCGATGACATTTTTCCAGGTAGCGGCAGTGCAATGGTGGGCCTCGTCCACGATAACTGTGTCAAACTCTTCCAAAAGCTGCTTAGTTTTGTCTTTCGACTTTAACGAGGTTAAGCTATTTCTTGATTTTCCTGCGAATACCTGAGCATTAGAAATTACAAGCTTGCAATTTCCAAGGCTATGGAAACCCTTATCCTGATTGAAGGTCACAGATTGAAGGTCACAGACTTCTACAGGTTCAAGGAACTCTGTGAGACCTTGGTCCTCGAGGAACATGCCGGATTTTCGAAGAAACGGGGCGAATTTTTCATTAACTTTTAGGCCAAAGTCGGCAGCCAGCTGGGTGGATATTATCTTCGAAGGTGTGAGTATCAAGACCTTATGTGATTTGAGAACATACGGAAGCAGAGCCACCATACCTGACTTGCCTGAGCCTGGTGGTGCAACGATGAGAGCAGCAGTACGTATATAACCCTCGGACTTAGTTTGTTTGCGGAAATGTTTGGCTGTCTTTAAGACAGCCTCGATTTGGTATTGATGAAGGGCCGTTCCCTGATTGGCTTTGGGGTTCTTAATTTTAGCCAGTTCTTGTTGGAGGGTTTCAGTAATTCTATCATGGAACTTCTCAAAACGTGATTTTTTTCTAGATAGATTGGCCACATCGTTACGTAATGAATCAAGGCCTCCGGATATTTCTCTGCAAATGAATCATTTACTATATCGCATTGATCGTTGACAGTATTAATTTCGATCTGATGACAATCCAAAAAAAACATAGACAAATTTTCAGAAAGGTGAATTAATATTTCCTGTTTATTTCAAAATTATGACCATGCGTTAAGTATATTTTCTAAACTTTCCTAGCTGACTCCCTGGTAAAGTTCTGTGGCTTCTGACGCATCAAGTGCTTGAGTAGCTTGGTTTGTGTCTGCTTGCTGAACTTGAATTGCAAGATCAATATCTGTTGGTTGAATGTCTATAGATTCGTTTATGTTGACTGGTTGAATTTGAGTTGGTTGGGAAATTGATGGTGGCTGAACTTGAATAGCAAGGTCGATATCTGTTGGCTGAATTTGAATAGCTTTGTCTATGTTGACTGGTTGAATTTGAGTTGGTTGGTAAATTTGTGGTGGTTGAATCTGGGTTGGTTGGTAAATTGGTGGTGGTTGAACTTGGATAGTGTGACTGGGGTCGATTGGGTGAAGTTGAATGGTTTGGCTAAGGTCTGCTGGTTGATCTTGTATAGCTCGGCAAGATTCCTCTGGTTCAACAGTAACAGTTTGATTTGTCCCTAGCGGCTGGTCCATTGTGCCAGTAAAACCATGTCTTAAAAGACCTCGAAATGCTCCTGTCCCAAAATTTTAAACTAAACTAAACCATCTGGAAATTGAGTCATCCAGCAAAGTGGTCTTGCCTATCTTGCAAATATAGTCAGTGTGAACTACATAAGGCATTATCTATATTTGCGGAGGTGATATGTAGTAGCATTGTTCAGGTTTTGGCATGTTTATCTGGCATAAATTGATAATAGTATAACAATTCGTTTAGTAAGTAAGATAAAACTGTATGCATTCCTCCTTACCTATATTAGATAAAGTTACAAACCAATTGTAAGCAAGGGGTGAAACCGTGTGGAAATATCCATGGTGAACACATCTCCCACTTTGAGGTCATTTTCATCATTGCCTAAAAAGTACCTAGTCCCATTTTGCCCCATACCGACACGTCCCTGAATAATTTGGTATTCGATCACATCTTTAGAAGGGTAAACCATAGGGTCAAATTCGTTTTTTCAACCTTCGGCCTCGCCGACAAGGTCATCGGAAAGTCAGAAAGCAAAACTATTGATGCCATTAAATTCTGGGTGAAATTTCCCTTCAAAATGTTTCGCTAAATTTAATTTAGTGATTAATGACAGTTTACGAGGGATACTCAATAAGTAGTGCGAATGGTGCCACATCTCGAGAATCAGTGATTTTTGATCCAAATCTTTTTGTAAATTTTCAACATAGTCTCAACCCCGTTCATTGCAGCATTTAGTTTTTTTCATCAGTTTCTCCTATCTCTTAGCAAAATATTTTTTAGAGATGATGTTAAGCACAAATTGCTTACGCTAAAAAAGCTCATATAAAATCTAAATTCCTTGATAATTTTCTTGAAATGTTTGAACACAAAGTAATCACAGGGGTATCGGTAGGCAATATATGTGGGTGATCAATTAACTTCAATGCAGATCCGGTCAATACGAAATTATTCGCCATAATTATCATTTCAGCCTTGCTTACGCTCTATTTGATGGAATCAATTCCTGCCTTCTTCAGCGACGGGACTGACTGCGGCTTTGCTTCCAGAGCATATTTATGAACCAAAATTTAATTCCCAGTACCGATACGGGCTTGAACGTTGATGGTATTCATTTTGTAATTTTGGATTTTCCTAGAGTGCAAGCAATTTTTACTTAACACCATCACTAAAAAAATATTTTGGTGAGATATAGAAAAAACTGACGAAAAAAACTAAATGCTGCAATGAACCGGGTTAAGACTATGTTGAAAACTTACAAAAAGATTTCGACCAAATATCACTGATTCTTGAGATATGGCACCATTCGTATTACTTATTGAGTTTCCCTCGTACCTACCCATTCAAGGTCGCTAAAAGTCAGATGTCAGAAGTATTGACGGCATTTAATTATGGACGAAGTTCCCATCCAAAATGATACGCTGTATGACGAATAACATCTCAAAAATTTTGACCCTAGGTCACGATATGAGGTTACGATCTAAAAGGCCCATCCCTGAACTTTGCCTGTATTTTGACATCTGTAACACTGCTGAAACGGCCATATACATATTAGCATCCGTTCTAAACTCCTAGTGCATACGAACGGGCGGAGAGACATATAAACAGTTGAACCCACAGATTTACAGACGGACAGACAGCATTTCCATAAACAGGTTTCATCCTTTAATACCCTATCTGTAGCTGAATCATGCAGACATTACGAACGTTGGAACAGTTTGATACTGCGATAATCCACTCCACATCCATCCATTATGCCTGGGAGCAGAGGCTGATGTTTAAATAAAGATTGTGAAACCATGGCTCCGTGCAGACGGTGAAAGATATGGAGAGAAAAATAGGTCATAAAATGTACGCATTGTACACGCTTAAATGATGTCACCGGAGTGTTCCCATTTGTACACTATATATGTAGTGTACAACGTTTTAATACGTTAATCAAAAAACGTACACTACGTTTTAAAATTTTTTCCTACGCTTATGAAAACATGCAAAAAATCACATACATATCCCCATAAATATCCACATAAATATTGGTCAAGTTGATTAAATTAAACATGTGTCACACGAGACACCTTTTCTCCCTGATTTGTCATCCGATTCACCTCAAATTTGGAGGGAATATTCCTAAAAACATGTTCTTCTTTTAAGTTAAAAGTCTAAATTTCCCCGAGATATGATTTTTTTTTACATCCCTATTTTTATACCCGCAATTTTCAAGACAATTTTAAATAAGCGAATTTTTTTATTGGTCCAGCTTAAATGATACTGCAAGTTTCGATTTCTACTTGCAGAAAAGAGTTAAGTGCACACAAAAAACGATGAAAAAGAGGTAAGTGCACACATGTATTTAGTTATGCATAATATTTACTAAATACTGCGATCCACTCACGGTCACACGACAGTTTTATTCCTCCAACGCCTTGCCGTATCCAATATAAGATAGCAGTAAGGCTTAAAAAAATTAACACAATCTTATTTTCGGCCTCTTGGTTTATTCATTATAAAGATTCCTACCTTTGATCTTTCGATGACCTACAAGATCCGAGACGTGCATTCCGAATTAATTTTCTTAAATGCGTGCAACGGTTCAAAAGTCCAGCAAGGGCCAACTCTTATGTGCCCATTGAATCCAGGGTAACCTTTTACACTAAAGTGTGAACAATATACGAAAATGTTTCCAAAGAATCACAAAAAACATGACACCATATTTTTATGAACAAAATATTAATGTTTATTAAATTTATGTTTTTACTTTTTTTGCTACGACATGCAAGTTTACGAGGGGTTATCAATAAGTAATGCGAATCCACCCTTTAAAGACAAGATACAAAGCTGAGAATTTGGCCATTCATTCCTCATACATCCTGTATATTGTGTACCAAAAATCATGAGATTCCGATATCTCATTCTTTTATAAAGTTTGGAAGAGGTCAGAAATCGTAAGCAAAAATGAAATTTCAGGAAAAAAGAGGTTTATTCTACAATGTATTTTTTGCACTGAAAGGCGATTCCGCTACCGAAATTTTTGAAAATTTGCAAATAGTGTACAGTAATAGTACTCCATCATTTAATACTTTTTCAGGTTGGGTAAATGAGTTTAAGTGGGGTAGACAGACCGTAGAAGACGAACCTCGGCCTGGCAGGCCAATTTGTGTTTCTGATGAGGTAATGTGCAAAAATATCCATGAGTTGGTGGACCATGATATACATCTGAAACTTAATTAAATAGCAGAATGTATGGGGATTTCAAGTTGCAGTTTGAATTTCATCTTACATGCGAGACCTCGGCTATCTTAGCTATCTTCTCGTAGGGTTCAAAGTCTGCTTACACTGGCATAAAAATACAAACTAGTGGAAAATTGTTAAGGCCTGTTGGGAATTTGGATATCAAATCCTGTCTAATTTCGCACCAAAATCGTGACCCTAGATGTGTCATGGGTTTATAATTATAATCCCGAAATAAAACAAAAATTAATACAGTGGCTTAGAATGAGGCATCTCAGGCAAATCGAGGCAAGAACAACTCATTCTGCAGGAAAAGAAATGGTCACCTTATTATGGGATGTTAACGACTTTTGCATACCGATTTTATTCCAAAAGGAAGCCAAATAAATGCCAATCATAATCTAAAACTGCTCAATGAATTGGTCTACCACTTCAAAAATAAGAGAAGGGGAACATTGGAAAGTGGATTCTTTTGGTTTCACGACAGCAATTTGTCTCACTCTGCAAAGATTCTCGAGGCTGCTCTGGATCGATCTGCATTCTGGCTAATTGACCACCCACCATATTCTGCCGACCTGGCACCCTGTGACTTCTGTCTATTCTCACATATTAATAAAATTATCAGGGGAAGGAGATTTGGAAGCGATCACGAGCTAATCTCGCGTGTGCGTCGTATGCAAAACAGCTTGACTAAAGAATTTTTTCCTGAAGAAGTGGAGCAACTTATCAAAAGAGCTGAATGTTGTATTGAATTGGGAGGGGATTATGTTGAAAAGCCTCAAAATGAAATGGAAAAAAGGACCTCAACGGTCGAGATAATCCAATATTCGCATTACTTATTGATAACCCCTCGTACATGGGGTTGGAATCAAACACAGAGTTGGTCAACCTGACTGTGCTGTAAGTTTCAAAAACAAAAATTTTCGTTTGTATGGAAAACATATATTTATTAAATATTAATATTTTGTTCATAAAACCTATCAGTACAGCTTTGCGAGCCCGACCCAGGGTTTGGTTTGAAAAATCTGTAACTTGACTTCATATTACTAGTTTTTATCATCATCGGAACCACCATACCGAATTTCAGTTCGATTGAACGATTTTGAAAAATAGGTATGGGTCACTCACATGGTCCCATAAGTTTAAAAAAATTCAAAAAAGCAAGACAGAAAAATAACTCGTCACATAATTTCAAGCATATACATACATAATTTAATATCAATCTTAAATTTATTATCAAGTTTGTAATATTAGTATTACCTAATGCCAACATCATTCCTTAAACCTATTGTTGTATCATATTTCTCCCACGTTTTTAGAAGCTTAGTTTAATAAACTTTCCTGAGCACAAACATAATAAGTGTCGAGAAAAATGAGGACATTATCCTGCCCGCACCTGCAGTCGTTGTGGGTGGTTGGGTTTGTGGAACGGTCGTCGGTAGTTCCGTGGTCGGTTCACCAGTCGTTGTCTCATCTTGGAACATGAATGTTACCCAGTCAAGAACCGCAGTTCCACCATTATGCATCAGAATAATGCCATATTTCTAGAAAAAGTATGACATTTAAATTCGTCATCATGTCAAACCCCACAAAACATGGATTGAATCATTTTGAAAGTACGGGAAGACAACAAAGTGGGGACTAATTCTTCATTATTAAATTCCAATCAACCATACCAATTAATAATTAGACCCTGTTTTCCATAAGATGTACTTATATACAAAAAAGAGTCTAATTATAAAAAATGAACCATAAAACAGGAAGTATTCTTCTAAAAGTAGGACATATTCTTCATAAATTTTTCGTGCTAGCTCTTTTAAAAAACTCGAAGAAATTTTGAAGTTCCTAATCATTTTAAATGTATGTAAATTATGCCTTGGGGTTACTTACATATTCCTGATGTCGTCGTAAGTCCACCACATAATCTACCCAGGCTCCTTCATTTGAAGACTTGGTGTCTATTATGATAAATGAAGTATTTTCGCCACTTCCAACCGGAATTCCGACCATGATTTGACCTTCATTTTTCACATAGCCGGTGATCCTGACGGACAGCGGGATAACGGCGGGATGCGTTCCATACTCAATTCGACACGCTTTTTCCTGACAAGGCGACCAATATCCGGGTTCAGACTCTTCTTGTCCACGGGACATCCCAAGGTTCGGAAATCGTCCACATAAGTACAATCGTTGAACGGCCAGTGTTCCGGTGCGAGATAGTCTGTAGTGATGGAAATTGGCTCGATCGGGTCGTCACCAAGGTCGACAACGATCTTGTCCACTAGAACAAATGAGGCGGCGCCGTCACCGAAAAGAGTGAAGTTTAGGACCTAATCAAATATTTAAGTTAAATTGACCTTTACAAAATATTTGAAAATTTTTAATTTTTTTTAATTTTTTTTTAAAGTTTATTAAAATGCAAATTTGTATAAGAAGAGTTGCTAAAAAAAATTGAACTTACGAGAACTTTCTAGTTATGCAGACATAAACCCTCACAATATAAGTACGTGGCTTTGTATTCTCGAAATCAGTAATAAGTATTTTGTGCAGAAATTTATTAATACTAAATTTATTAGGTATGTAGACATGTTTGTGAGGTTTAATTCCCAGCTCGTTCAAGATTATGTAAATTAATTAAGGGGGAAACGTGAGTAGAAGCCTTGTGCAATTCCTAGTGAAGCAAAACTCGTTAAAATGAAACAGATAATTCAAATTAAGTCAAATATACTGTGTTACAATTAATTACTGACAATCGTTGTTCAAACATTTACAGACATATTTAGATGCGACACCAAGTTTCGTGATAAGATTTAAATGCTATTGTCCAATTTAATTGCTGTTTATAGATTTGTAAAATATAATTACGATGCAAATTCACGATTATCCGACAATATTTTTGCACTTAACTCACATACAATATTTTTTTTAATTCTAAAAAACTTACTGCCACACCGGAGCCGGGCAATTGTGTCAAATAAATTTCCTCCTCAGTCCACAACCCCTCTGGCGTATCAATATGTGAAATATCCTGCAAGGGCCCACCTGGAGTTTCACTTCCGGAAATTGACATCTTCGCCGGCCTTCCGGACAAGGCCATGTAAACCGAGAGAAGAATTTTCTTAGGCTTTGGGAGCGATCCTCCGTAGTAGATTAGACTGCACGGGGTCTCGGCGGACGTCCAGAAACCAACCCTTTCCGGAAATATGTCGATTCTGGGTTGTCGAGGATTGCCGTACACCCAAAAATCTGAGTCATCTTGATACGGACAGGTAACTTGCAGCAGTTGATTCGTGTCGGAGGCTTTGTCGAAAACTATCTGAACTCCGGAAACGGAAACTATGGAAAATAAGATGAAAATGGGGAGAAATTTGAACATTTTTAAACACAAAATTTATCCACGATTTTAATTGTTCGAGTAGTGGCTGCACCTTGAATCGATTAGTGTATTTTAATTATTCTCACTTGTTGCGACAAGGCGACGATATCTTATCACTCTATGATAACAACGGTGGTGACGCACGACGTCAACGTCACAACGTCGGTGACTTTTATACAAATTATCGAATGATAAGCATGACATGGAAGCACAATTAGTTTCAAACTCACACTACTAATGTCAAATCTGGACAATGAATCCAATCAGTTCAATATGTACGATTACAAATAATTCGATTTGGTCTACATGGTGCCACAATTGGGAAATATGAGATTTGTGAGAAATATTGTAACGCCATCTAGCGGAACTAGAATGAACATGCAATTTCCACAATAATCTAATTGTCAACATAATATCTTCAAACTGAACAAAATTATTTATTAATTTCTGCATTCAATGGCAGTCTGTACACCGTCATCAGTTTTGATAATAATTATGAAAAATCTCAATCCAAAATCTTGCAAGTAATGGAGATTTCGGGGTTATTCGAAATTGAAAACTTTTCCAATGTATCGTGACTTTTAACCATCTTGTATATTTAGAACTAGTGGTTGGATAGGTTTCAGTCTACCACTCTAAAATAATTCCTTTCTTTACACTGCTATCCATTTCCCGGTGAATCCCAGCATTTCCAGTAAATTCTATAGATATATTAGGCATGGATGCGGATCGCGGTCTTTTGGTGGTTATCTTTACCTCAATCTCTGTCCCACATTCCATGGCAACGACTATATTCGAACAGGCAAATGTCGTAAATCCACTAGAATCTGAAACTACTGCATTGGTAGAAACATTTTTCTTGTCTCGTTTCCGCTGTTGCTTTCTCATAAATTTAATTACTCTCAATTCACCCCTTTTCTTCGGCCGCTCATTCGTCCAGAAAATGACAATTGGTAAAATCAAGATGAAGATAAAGGCGACAAAAATTAAAACATAGGTACGAGTAGCGTTTGATTTAAATTCGCTGAGAGGCTTGCGGACAATTCTGTAGTAGGACATCGCTATTCCAAACGGAAGCCAGAATAGGATAAATGTTGCGGATGTGGCGTACACAAATCGCATGCTTTGCACGCGTTTGTACAGTTTCCAAGTTTGATGGTCCTAAAAGTTTATTTTATTTTTTAATACCCGTCTCATTAAATTCTTCATGTTTGACAATTATGCATTGAGAATCTATCAAAGCCGTGGCAATATCAAGCTAAAAGGTTACATGGTGTATGCTACAATAAATTCTTTAAATATTGGAAATTTGAATTTGAATCATTCGGGCAGCCTGGAATCGGCGGGCAAAGTAAAATTTCGAAAAATTGTTTATGATAGTCAAGTGATAAAAAGTGGTTACACAAATCTGTCATTGGTACTTAGTAAATAGGTTAACATGTCGAGGGGTCAAAAAATTAAAATAGCCTCAACTATCTATTTAAGGGAACTGGACACTCCTAATTTTGGAAGTCGGTAAAGAATAGAGTGGGCAAAGGTAAAATTTCCTACGCGTAACATGAGAACTTGGCGTATCAGGCAAATAGCATCAGCAAAATTGAACAGGAAACTGCTATGGTTTTAAAAGATGCACCATAGGATTCTTAGCTACCTAGATAAGTACTTACCTTAAATCGTCGCAGGTCCTTGGTTTTAGAACGAAGCTTAAACATTTCTACAAATAGAAGGCGACAATTTTGTAAATTATTTGGGCTAACATACATTAATTGATAGAAAAGTGTATTTTACCAAATATCATGTACATCGAAATGAAGACGTGGAACAGCAGACATTTGGATACTTCGTGAATAACTGTGGCAACTCGGCTATTAAATAACATATCCTATGAAAACATACAAATTTTTAATTTAAGTAAATTGTCTGTGGAGCACTCTTTCAAGATTTATTGGTTTTTATTTCACCCTTTGGCAAATCTTCCTCTCGGCATTGTACACATTGTTGAAGGCAGATGGAAGCGAGCAAACAAAAGGAATAGCCCAAACCAATCCGAGTAATTTTAGCAGAGAAAGTTTTCTCCGGGTTACCTTCAAAAGCCGAAGTCGCTCGTGACTTATGCTCAAAATGGAAGAGGAGATCAAGTGAACTGAAAATACTGAAAGTAAATGATATAAGTAACGACACCAAGACAACATCAGACATGCCAATTTTAACAGATTCTGAAAGGGTAAACAAAATATGGTGTTCCGTTGGACGGATAAACAAAGGTTGCATTTATTGTAATTTATCATTTTTTTATTTATTTTTTTATTGTCTCAAACGAACAACCAAATATGCCGTTTTACTTTAAACAATAAATGAGAGAAAGCAGGATACTCACTTCTCATAAAAAATACTGCCGGACAGAGGAAGTCTCCCTTAATGCTGCGATCCTTATCTGTCAGAAGAAACGTTCCCTGCACACACGTGAAGACGCAGACCAGAGACAAGTTTGCAATCAAGGTATTCAACCGCCTGTAAATAATTAAAAAAAAGTTTCAATTTTTTTACTAACTTATTTTAACATCCGAGCATTTTATTTAGATAATTTAAAAAAAGGTCCCTAGAAATTTTTACATGCAACACACAGGAGCTGGTTCAAGAAGGACATTACACTGAGAATTTTTTACGCGAGGTCTATTGGTCAAAAATATTTTTGACCAATTTAATAAAGCAACAAGTTTACATTTATGCGTTAAATTAGGGCGGACAAACTTAAAAATATAATTTTATTATCTCTGCATAGGGTTTCTGATTTTATACTGTCAATAAATAAATAATTCAAATCATGAAAAATTTACAAAAAATTCTGATTGCATATGTTCTTTTCGAACCAGCTTGTACATGCTTTTTTTAATACCTGACTCTATGCCTGGAATGAGAGTTGTGCGACGTGTAGAAAATGATGAAAATGTTTATTGCCACACAAATCAAACAGAATATGATAACCAGGTATTCAAGAAAAGTCAAATTAATGTTCCCCTCAACCGCGGTTGAATTTGAAGTGGTTGAATTTAATTGCTCAAGTGTTGAATTACTATTGGCCATCGTTTAAAAAATGGGTGAATGCAGGAGAAAGTTTGGTCCGTATTTGATAGACTTTATAAAAAAGCTGCCAGTTTCCGATTCTCATGTTAAAGTGAGAGTGATGAGATTTGAGCCGTAGCGATTCCTCAAAATATTGCTAAAAAATGCATATTTACGTCATCCATATCTTGACATGCACCCTTAAAAATCATGTTATCTTTTTTAAAAGTAGATTTTATGCACTCTCAACTCTATGGAATTGTTAAGTTGATAAATAAAAACTAAAGTTTAGTGTAGATTTTGTTAGTCAAGTTGATTTAGAATTTTAGGGGTCTTCACTTCAAAAGCGTAACATTATTTTCTAAGAGTGTAGGAGAAATCTGATAGCGTTATGATGTTTTAGTTGAGAGATCAATTTGGCACAGAGTGGAAAGCTTTGTCACGATTTAATGGGACATCGAGCCGTGTGTGAAACTTGATACTCGATCGGGGAAAGGCTGACACATATGAAATGAATATGTACAAGTATGCGAAACGAGAAGGGTGAGCGAACGTTGATCTCTATATAATAGAAAGGTGTATCCAACTAAAAACGAAACTGCTTTCCCAAATGCATGCAAATTGGAGGACTAAAATAACTTGATTTGTTTTTAATAACGGAACTTTCCACTTATCACGTTAATGATAAATTTGGATTTGTTATCCAATTTTTTTTTTCATACTTGTGTAAATATTTAGCTTACAACACTTAACGTATAAATAGAAAACGATGATAGTTTTACAGTATCCAGTGTCACACAATTTAATTAGAGATATATGAAAATTCAATGGAGAATCTATTTAATTTGTTTTTTTAAATAATAAGCAGTTACCGATGAATTTTAAATAGATATTCTAACAACGTACATAAATTAGTAATTCACCAAATGTGTTTTTGAAACAGCAAGATTACGTATTTGTAAATAGAGTATTAAAAACAAAGCTTCAAATGTTGCATGAAAGTGAAAGATATGGTAGCCTGCTGTGATTTCAACCCAGGATTGTAGACGTAAGGATTTGTCGGTATTGTTTATAGTTTCTGTTGCAATCAGTACTTTCGACAGAAAGAAACTCAATTTATGTTGTGAGGTTCGCGACGATAATGCATTTATAGCTATGGGTGATTCATTGAATGGCACATAATCGAATGGCTGATAACCGAATGGCACAAAAACCTTTGGGTTTGCGGGGAGCCATATGACTTTTGCAGGAATGTTGAGATTTCCAAAATCTGCCCCATCGTGAGCAATTAGTAGATCACAATTTGTTATATTTTGCAAGAAGTGAGCTAGTTGGGTGTGAGCAAGTGGTGCGGAACTCGTCTCTGATTTTGTCAATGCCGTAAGCATTAACAGAAATATGGCAAGCATTATTACAAGTCTTAAGGTTTTCGGTTCTAACAAAAAATGTTTCAAAAGAAAAATAAGTCTACACGGTTTGTTTTAAACTGTTCAGTTTCAGTTGCCCGGTTGGTAGCCCTGAATAATTCATTTCACTGCAGACATACTTAAGTAATTAAGAAATATAAAAAAATCTCTAAGAAATATGTATATTATTGTTAAATATTATATGGGCCATGCCATGATATCTGTCGCAGGTAGATGTAAGAAAACAATTCCTTAAAAGCTTTACCCAGGCAGGGCTTGTATGTATGTCGATTCCCTCAAAGCTTTAAGGCAAAGAAGAAAATTTTAAATTAAAAAGCTAGCTACATAAACTTAATTATTTATATACACAAGCACGCTTAAAAATAATGCAAGTAATAGACAAAATTAACTTGATATTATCAAGTTAATTTTGTCTATCAAGTTGATAAATGGTAAAGTTAACTCTGGATCTATGTAGTACGGTTTTCTTAACATACCTACATAACTATAAGTCAGACTGCATTGGCTTGTCAAAAGAGTAATTTTTTAAAAGTGGATGTATGCCCGTACATCTCGTTATGAACGCTTCTATATTAGTCGGTCATAATATTCCAACCATTTGCTAGGAACGAGGACGCTTTACTTAACTATTTGTTCACCTTTCTTATATCGCTTCATTTAAATAAACAACGAATGCCTGAAAAGGTTTTAAAAAATTCCTGTGCAAACATACATACATATCGCTTCCCTTTCATTAAATTAAACTACATAAAACACTCTCTACGTGAATTTCAACCAGCCTCATGCCCTTTGTGCACGCGATTTTGACATATGTATCACGAAACTGACAAACTCTTTGACGAGGTTGATTGAATTTCTCGTCCAATTTCTTAAATTAATTTAACATGGTGTAAAATGTCGGTGAAAAGTAATGCAAAAGTTGAGATGCTACATATTAATAAATAAATTATCAGTTTCGAAAATTCGAATTATAAAAATCATTAAGAAAATGTATTTTTGCGTAATTCATGCAAACAATTTAGCACAAGTGTAAAATTCATAAAAATTGTGTGAATCTACATACTTAACATTAATAAAGTGTCGCAAATCATTTGCATTTTAGTTCCTTGCATTTTTATTTCACATTTGTATTTTCAAATTTAAAAGATCACCCTGAAAAAGCCAATCACCGCGTCAAACACGTCCTTCACGGCTTCCTTAACAAGTCTCCAACCTGCCCGAATTTTGTCCATTATTTCCTGAAACATGTTTTTCACCCAGTTCATCAAATCTCGGAAAAATCCACCCACGCTGGACCAAAAGATGACGACATCTTTTGCTGCTCGGGAGTCAGCGTGGTCAACTCCTCTTTCGCCGCGGTTCTCTGCTCTTCCAGCTGTTTTTGCATTTTGTCGAAAATCTAATCAATTTTTGCTTGGTTTCTTTTCAAAATTTCTGGATCGTTGCCCTCCTCAAGATTCGCGTTAGCCTTCTTCCACTCAAACATGGCCATGAATCGGGCCGAAAACCCGTGGCGGGCTTGGCTTCGGTGCGCCGCGCCGGGAAGTTGCCCAATACTGGCGGCAGCTTGATGCAGTCTTAAGCGCAGAATGGGAAGTGCCGTTGACGTTCCCATCACGGCAACTGTTGCTCTCGGCATCATTGTCGTCAGCTAAACATGAGCAAAATAAGGAAACAAAATACATTTTTGATTTTTAAAGTTTATCCACTCTTAAAAATAGTGTTCCCCTTTTGAATGTTAATTGCATATCTACACTCTAAATTCAGTGAACTATGTAGATATACACAAAGTAAAGAAGCAAAATAAATTTCGATTTTCAGGCTACACTCTTAAAAGTAAGGTTCCACTTTCGAAAGCTAAATGTATTCGATGCATATTAACTAAACTGCTGAACATTGCCCGCGGAAGCCGTGTGGGCATCCTGCAACGTTAACTTTGTTGGATAGGGAGCTGAGGAGTTTATGTAGCCTGGGAATACCGAGTAACTTTGGGGATATTGTCCCTACACATGCTTCCGCAGCCACTGGTACGAAATAAATCCGGGCTAACGTTTACTTAATAAAGATTAAAGTTCACTCTGGATTTATCATGTATTTAGTTTAATTCAGGTCTCAATTTAACCGCCCGACGACAATATGGCTTTCGTAAATTACTAAATAGTTTCTCCAATCATGAAATGATTTCAAACTGAAGTTTCAACTACTTCTTTTTCAAAAACTTTTTCAATTTGCTATTTTTTTATTTTATTTACTTAAAGTTGTTGCAAAATAAATATGTAAGTCGCATATTTTATGATGATTGGCAATATTATTAATTTTGGTTGGAGTTAACTTTATGGTGTAAGACAACATCGTGTAAATATTATTTATTTGAAATTTACTACTTAAAATCGTACCATTATTTTTAAAAGTGTGTACAATTTCTTACCAATTTATTTTTACCAAAATTTCGAAAGATGATACTTAGAAAGAAATATTTTTGAAGTTATCTATCTGGAGAGAGAGTGTATCGCTTAATGTACTCGGTGGGATATAAATATTCATTTATTTCTTAGGTTGTTCATGACATGCGGTGTTAACATGAGTGAATATGTCAATGTAATGCATAACGAACTTACAAACATGCAAGTCCTTAAGACAACTTTTGACATTGGAAAGAAATACGTACGATTCCTACATATGTACATTGAGAATATGGGAATAGACGAGATTTCATCGTTTCTCTGACTCATCCACGTGCTCATGAGTGAAATAATGGATCCCATAAATCTCATGGGTTCATGAAATCCAGTCGATTCCCATATTCTTCGTCTGTATTTTTTTATGAAAGAAATAATATTATATTTTTATGCATGAATGCATATTGCAAACAAGTGGATCATACTCGTAAAAATAGATCAAAATGAATAAAATGAAATTCTAGAAGGGGTGAATTTCGGATAAGATTTACACATTATGCTACTGAAAATGTGGGAAAAAACGGGATTTCATCGTTTTTCTGAGTCATTCACTTGTTCGTGAGTGAATGGATTGCATAGAGCTCATGAATTCATGAAATTTCCTGTAATTTACCATGCTTGTAGTCTAAATATGTTTCTCTTTGCACATAAAATATCCTCAATATTATTTTTATGCTTGCACTGTTTTTTTTACAAAAGTGTACAAAATTTATAAAAATGAATCATAATGCGCGAAAATGGATGAAATGCAGTATTTGAAGCATGGATGTTGAAAAAAGCGGATAAAATTCATAAAAATGGGTAAAAATGAGTGAAATTCAATTCGTGCAGGGGAACTTCGTAAATACATATTTTACAGAAATTTTAAATTTATTCTGCAATGCATTCATGATCATGTGGACTGGATGCAGTCTCATGAGTCAGATGAACTATGAAATCCAGTCTAATCCCATGTTCTTAATCTGCATACATATGTATGTTTGTAGCAGTTGTATGCAAATCTGTCGTATCTGTATATATTTATGTGAAGAGTATCTTGCTTAAGAACCTGTATGTAAATTTATTGTGCATCATACTCATTCACTTATGAGCAAGTGAATACCATCTCATGAGTCAGAAAAACGGTGAAATCCAGTCTGTTCCCATATCCTACGTAAAGGGTACAAACATAAATATGTATATTTTATCCCTTATCTTAACAACTCGTATGTACATATGTAATTTGATTGCCGTTTATTGGGGGACGTCCATAAATTAGGTAACGCGAGAAGGGGGAGGGGGACTATGTTAACAATGACGTCAAAAGAGGAGGGGGAGTCTAAAAACTCGCGATTTTTGCGTTACATAATTCATGCACGGCCCCTTGACCCTTACCTTCTACAAACAAACCAGCCTTTTCCGTTCATGCACATGAAGATCCAAAAGCCGTCTTAATATCTGAATGAGCCTTTAATATAATTAATGACACACTAGTTTTACGAAAATGAAATTTGCACACAATGATAAAAAAGCACTGCATAATACCGTTCCGTGGTTATGAAATATTTACCACGGAGCATCAAACTACTACATTATTAGAAATGGGGTTACGATTATAAACAAAAAGTAAACGTATTTATATGATTCTACCACCGTGGTTATGAATTTGTCACCAACTGATTATATATTTATTAGCTCTGGTAACAATTTCACACCAAGTCAGTGAAACTTGATAATTAGCGGGTGACAATTATAACCCCTCGATGACAAATTTATAACCACAGTGGTAGAGTTACATACGTCCCTTTTTGGTTATAATCATAACCCCATTTCTAAGAGTGTACCACTCGAATAATAATGTTGTGGCAATGAAAAATTTCATACCAATAAGAAAACTATTACCAATCTGATAGTACGATGGTGCCAAAGCTATACCAGCAACATTTTTATTGCTAGGTAGATACGTACATGTTTAAGTCTACCAAACTTTTTACAGTGCCACTGCTGAGTTAATTTGGGACAAAAAATCTATCGTTTTTGAAAAAAAGGTTTTGCTAGACTTGCAAAATTTTGAAAGACTTCTGACCTTATGTCCCTCATTCACCCACATATCAGAGCATACAGACCTATGTACCTTCAGGTACATGTTTAATCTAATTCCTTAATTGCAACCGGTTATTAAGGCAGACAGACTGACCAAATGACATGATGGACTTACATATTTTCAAATATGCATAAACATGTACCTATCACATTTCAAGATATATTGACCCAAATAACATAATTTTGAGATAAGACGAGACAATTCAACTATGTATTTAATCTCAGAACAACATCATTACGAGACATTGTCTCTCGATCATCTATCATCTCGATCATCTAAACTTGATTTTAAAAAGGACACACATCTCAACATTGTATCGAAATCAGTTCGTTTCATGCTACCTATTTATTTGTCACAAAGTGTTTAAAGTGAATGCACTCATTTTTTGACAGTCACTGTAACCTCGAGTCCGACACGTAATCAAATCGCTAAAAAATATTTGATACTTTCAAAATATACAGTACAAAAAATGACTCAAATAAAAATGGTAAGACTGGAATAAAATTTAAAATGCATATACATACATAAAATTGAAATCTTCTGTACATAGTCGTGCAGGTATAAAACTTATTCCTGCTTGGTGTTAAAATTATTCCGGGCCATAATATGTAATTTGTTACCAAAATGGTAAAACCTTACGTAATTTATTATTACGTTGTATAAAGTACTTAGGTATACACAAATACTTGCCACTTTGGTAGAGTCATACTTATCTGAATACTGCTTTGTATTATTTTTCAACAGTATTTCTAAGAGTGTATTTATGTAATTCCTTCCTCTTACTCTCGCGGGTTCGCTAATTTTAATACCAAAATTACGACCGAACATACAAAGAAAAATATTTGCTACATATTTAGTTTTTTTTTTAAATAATATTTGTTTTGCATGTGTATAGGTCGTCCTGCTAACCTGTCTCTCATCAAATTTAGTGTATTCCTTCCGACTTGAAAATGAAAACCATCCCTCCAGAACTCCAACCCTAGAAAATGCGGAACAAGTAATCCAACTTTTTAATGAATAAGTTTAAGAAAATGTGCATGTTTCGCAAGTAATAATGATTTTCTTTCGAATGCTAAATTTTTTCAATCTTTGTTTTTAACTTTTGTCAACATATTTAAAACCTAAGATCTTTGTGATTTTTACCTTTTAAACTACAAAACTTAAACTACTAGTAACTAACCAAATTCTGCATATGATGATGGATTGAATTCAATAATGATTTTCTTTCGCAGCCACAATCTCATTTTCCGGAGGGATCAGTACCAAACGTCGCGCATCCAAATGCCAAAGATTCATTTGGAACGAATCGGAAGTCCAGGCAGATGCCATTCATCATCTACGGGGGATGGTAAGTCGGCATATATTTTTGTAAGATTTGGCACACGAAAACAAGCGCATTAGTTTTAAGGTCCGATTGTCGTCAGGTTTTGAATTTTTGCGCCTCAGTCGTCGCTATACGCATTCAAATGGCGATTTGGAGACCTGTTAATCTTGTTATAAAAATTTTTGACTTAATTCCATCGACAATTTTTAGATTTCAAAGTTATTTCCAAGGCTACAATTTTGATTCTTTTGTTTCAATATTAAAAAATATTTAATTTTTGGCTACTATTTCTTATTATTTTCAACATTTATGTACATATGTTGAACATATGTAATGGAAAACCGAAATTATCTTATTTATATTTTCTCATGGGAGAAAAATCGAAATTCCAATCTCTTAACAAAGTTTTCATTGTGTAAAAAAAAACACACAAACAAGTTTCAAAATCACCATTCGAGTACAGATCATCGCAATATATGGAAAGTTTAGAGATAAATTCAAATTCAAAACCCGAATACAATGGAACCTTAACAATATACCTATTTATTCGTCAATGAGATTTCTTCTAGTCTGGAGGATATTAAAAAGTTATCCCAATTTTTTCAGCTCAGCAAACAGTGGTTTTGGATATGGCGCGCGATCCTCCCCGAACGCTGGAGATATTCCAGAACATCTTCGCTGGTGTTATCAAAGATTTGGGAATGATTGTTTGAAAATTCTGCGAATGTGTCAGCTTGATAGTTACTGCCGAAGCCGAGAATGCGCTCAGGGTGATACGGACTGTGCCATTCATGTCCTACAACTATATTCTGGTTATACATCGGAACGACTGTTTGGCCCCTATCAGTTCTACCCCTTTCGTTAGGGTTAGCATTTTATAATTATGATTTAATCGTTTAATTAAGTATGAGACTTTTTTGCATGCAAAGCTTATTGCGAAAGAAAGACCAAACCATAGACGCGCCATAGAAAAGTGATACAAAAAGCTAAACTGTCTAATTTTCTAATTGTCTAAATTGTCTAATTGTCTAATTGTCTAAATCTGATTGTCTAATTTTAATGGACAAACCATAAGGTTGTCGGGATCTATTATGATGCGGACATTATTTAAAAAAAATAGGAGTAAGAATTATATCTATGTAGGTAATTTAATTGCTATGTCTTCATTTAAAAATAAATTTAAAAACAACTGGATGTAAAATTTTTATTTTGTAAAGTATTTATGTGGATAGCTCTAAAGTAACTCTGAAGATAACCCTAAAGTAGATACCTCTTTCTGACGGAATATATAAGTACGGGTGACCAACATTGTCGTTCGTAACAGTGTCGTTTCGTTTCATAACATAACTAATAAAGTAATATAAAGCTTAAAAAAATAAATCGTACGTACGTGAACAGAATATTCGTGGTGAAATGGGCAGAATTGTATGAGTTGATTGACACCGGAACACATATTTATATATATGTACTTTGTGAATATTTCACTTGCACCACTTGTTCAAATTTAAGCCAAACTGTGACTCGAAGCTTATTTTTACATATTTTTTGTTCGACCTAATTAACATGCATATTGCATGCCTTTACAAATTCAGCTTGACGAAAAACACCATAAAGTCGGCCTGCCCTCATGTACTTTGTGGAGTGACCAGACTACTCATTAATAGAGATAGCCAAGCCAACGGCGGTAGCAGATTAAAGGCTAATTGCCGACCGCCTTGTCCCCATACGTTAAACGCATCGACGAAATCTGCCTCGTGGGGCCATCCAAAAATTACGTCATCAAAGATATTTGCACCCACCGACCCAAAATAAAAATCTTAACGGATACTGAATTTTAACCAAGGAAAGATAGGAAGACAAAACCACTCAGCTAATAAAATGGTGACTTAATCGATGTACGCTATCCATAAATTCCTCCCGTACATTTATTTCGTTCCGTTGCTAACTTAAACCAGGTCACAACTGTGACAACAAGTCACTTTCTTTCTTTGTATTTGCCTAAGTAAAACCGCTAAAAGATAAATTAGATCAATCACAACGATATAAAAGGAATCCAAATTCTCCTTCTTTTAGTTTACACAAAAGTACGTACAAATTTGCAAGCCGTCATCATGCTCAATCTGCCCGCTTTCGTTTGCGTAAGGTTTTCGTTAGCTTGATTAAAATTTCGAAAATTGCTCATCTTTAATTAATTTTTAGGTTTCACTCCTCGCCGTCTCTTTTGGCCGTGTGGAGGCAGTAGCAATGCGGTCGCCGAGAAGTTTAACTACGTTAGGTAACCAACCAATAAAGATTACACTCTTAAAAATAGGTTAACCTTTCCAAAAATTAATGCATTCTGAATTCCGTATTAAGTAAACTACATTCAATCAAAAGTACGATTAACTTTTGATTAAAATTTCACCGGATTAAAGTAGTTTAGTTTGCTTAATACAGAATAAAGAGTGACTTTAATGTTCAAAAAGGTATCACTATTTTTAAGAGTGTACCCATATACTCCCCATTCGCACATGGTTCAAATTTCACAGAAATTAAGAATTCTTCGCTATTGTGAGTATCAAAGGTCCCCGTCAACTTGCATCGAGTTAATTACGAAATATATAAATGGGGGTATTTGAAACAGCGGTGTAGTTTCTGAGAAATCATAATTTCTGTGAAAGTTCAACTGCATGAGAATCAATACTATGTCCATAACTGAATTTAAACTCTTTTAAATCCAATTTTAGCGCCAAGTTTGATCAACCCCAAGGTGAAAACAACCGTTGCTTCCGCCGCGGCGGCCGCAGTTTGTCCAGCGCCATCCATCTGCAACAGTAGAAACTGCTGTTCGTACTACTGCAACACGGCGACTGATCCTTGTCTCATGATCACTGGGAAACCATTCTGCGTCGACGCAGTGAATGGGCCTTATAATGCGCCGACCTGCACGGAAACCAGGTGCCTCGGCTGCGCCGTGAACTCCATTCCGTGCGGAAATTTAGATTGTGCTACGATTGTCGCGCCCGCTATGGTGTGCGACTTTAGCAGCATTAGGGGGCCCCTACCGCAAGTGGGATAGATCAAAAAGTTAATTAAGACGTTTATTATTCTAATAAATAATTAGGACAAGTTCATGGAAATAAAAAGGCTAAAGTTACTAAGGTCTGTTCATAAAAAATAAGATCTAATTTTGTGTTTGGTACGGTGAAATCGGTATTTTCTAAATAAACTGGCCTTAATTATTGTAAAAAGTAAATATTGTAAACTAAATTGGATTTCATAAAAGTATTTCGTACCATTATTTCATCCTAGATAATGAAAATTAAAGTTCAGCATAGTAAAACGCTAGGTTTCTAAAATATAAATATGTATATACTTATATTCACATTTCTCCAACCAATTTTCCTGGTTATCCAGAATTTTAAAATTTTGAAAATATTTTATGGTAAAATTAAAAATGTTAGCTGTAACTTTAGAATAAAGATTTTTATTTCAGTTATTATCATTGCATACACATTACACGAATTACACATCACTTTAGAATAAAGATGTTTTCACATATGTGACCAAATGATTCTTTATTAAGGGCATGAAAATAGATAAATCGTATTGAAGGATTGGTCGACGAGATGATAAAGTTTATGAAACTAACAATCTACTCAAACCGATTTTTTCCTGATTATTTTTTTCCGAAATCTATCTATTTCATATAAAGCTAAACTCGTTTTCAAAGTTAAGTTAAAACTCACTTGCAATGTTCCTGATGAATCCTAGATTCAGTATCAGTGTTTCTGAGTATCCGCATGATACTAGAACGACTCAAAGTATGTACATAAATCCGGATTCGTACGTTAAACGATCAAAATAAAAAGGAACATTTGGCACCTTGTGGGCAAAAAAGGGCCAGATTTTTCATCGCCAATATGAAATCTGCAAGGCGAAACTTTTTGTTTATTTGCGTGGTTTACTACTTTAATGCACACAAATTACTATAAGTTAATTGCTTTTCAGAGTTTTCAGGATCTTAAAAGAACTTAAATAATTCAAGAACTCTGTATCTAGACTTACAAATATAATGTGTAATTACCAGGGTTGAGTCGTGCCATAGATTTTGAAACGATCCTCTTTTGGGTTAAAAATAAGACTCGGTTTGACCCGATCCGAGTTTTGATTTAAAAAAACCGACCCGAACCGTTTTTTGGACATTAAAAAAACCTTATCCTTTTTAAACGGATCGGGCCAAGAATCACCCGAAAAAACGGGCTCCCCGCTCAACTCTGGTGATTGCTATAATAATATTATCTAAAGGGTGGCCCAAATGTATCTCCCGACTTTTTCTTTCAATAGAACTACAGCCTATTTTTTAAAATGATGTGACTCAACGAATCAAAAGCTTTCTCGCACATACATTAGTGTTTGGTCTTTCAACAAGTCACCTTAACAATGTCCTGAATGCTTTACTTGAAATTCTGCGATAATTTTTCCAAGCAGGTTTTTGCTAATTACATCGTTGTACTACTTTCACCACGAACTCCATTGTTTTGCGTGGTTTTAAATCTTTGTGCGTGCCCTCCTCAACTATGGACCATTGGTTCTTGAAAACACCCATGTCCGGAATTTTATCGGACCACACCCCCTTGATCCACACCATTGAATCTTGCAACTAAACAAGCTTATTTTTGCATTTACTTAATATGTGAGCTACAGGCCGGCCCTGCATGGAAACTTATTCGCATGCCTTTGGAAATAATTCATTACTACTAGTGCTATCAAGGTGTATAGGTGTCATTTCTTATACATTATTCTTAAAAGTGCTATTGTCATTATGGAATAATGCCAATAGTGGTTACACTACGCACATGAAAACCACTGGCAACCATAACTTTCAAGCACAATTCCTGCAGACGCATCCATGGTACATCCGATTTTTTGACCGTTTTGAATAGTGCATTTTATGTGTGCATCACTAGATATAACTCGATCGGGGATTCATCGGTTAAGACGATATGCGGGCAGGATTCTTTAGCTTGATTTTTTCGCATAAATGACCAGTTTTTTTTAACAATTTCCTATTTTTTTATTAATATAATAATTATTTTTAATATTAATTATTAATTTTTCTAAATCTAAGAAATTTTTGTTACTCCGTAGCGTTACTGCTTTCTTAGCACATCCAAAATTCTCTGAATTTTCTTGTGCTTTTAATTGGTGCACAAGTAACGTTTGTGTCTAAAGTTTATCACGTTCATAATTAACCCTTAGTATTGGACCTCTCATGGTAAAATTTTCAAATTGAAATATTCAGTGGTTCAGAAATGACAGCCGATTTTCATCTTGAATTCGTGCAAAAAAATCATCGGGAGATACATTTGGGCCACCCTTTATAAATAAATGAATAAAATCAAATGTTTACTTACTACAATAAGAAAATCCCTAGATGCATTCAATTTGTACTCAAAATAAAATAATACCTAAACGTTAAGTAAAAAATCGTTATTCAGCATTCCTGAGAAATTACACACCCGCACAGCACAATTTTTTGCGTCATTTAAAATTATGTAGCAGGTTCATAAAAATACGCTTTTCCAAATAATTGGGGGGGGGAGGGTATAGAACATCGCGATTTTTGTGTTACGTACCTAATTTATGGACGGCCCCTGTATCAAATGTGGGTTTAATAAAATCAACTGCTTGGAATCCAAAGGTATTACAATTAGTTGATATGCATACATATATATATTCACACCATGTAAAAACGAGCAATGCAACCAAGCTTTTTGAATTATTTGTGTACACACACGTCGTTTCACTTCACCTCCGCCCGTAATATCATAATAAAGGCAACTAACGTCAAGATTACAAAAAGCTATCTGAGCAAAATCAAAGTCCATAAACTAAGATTTTAAACCAAGGCGTAAAAACCAACACCAAATTACAAACCAACACAAAAGGAAAGGATTCATACGTGCTGCAAGAAATTGTTGAAGAAAATTTGGGGACAAGTGGTCATCATGGACGATGAGCCCTACGTCACCGTTGACCCTTAAAATCTTTCGGGAAAACACTTTTAACATTACTCTGACCCTTCTGAAGCAAAATTTGAAGACCAAATCCGGAAGGAAGACAAATTCCCCAAAAAATATCTAGATAATTTGGCAATTTAACTCCAGCGCCGGCCACGTTTCCGATCCCGTCATTTTAGAAGGGACTGTAAACCAAGAGGTTTATCTGAAGTAATGCGTTACAGGGGGATTGGAAACGTTTATTACCAACTATCATAAAAAATAAAGTTTTCTTTTGGCCTGACCTCGCAAGGTTCCATGACGCCAAAAAGGTCACTTACAATGGAGGCGCAAACCATGTTCAGCCCAGATAATTTTTTGACCTTATTAGTTTGAAAGAGCAAGTCTTTACAAACAACATTTCAAATGCAAATTTCAGCACGTTATGGGCGCGGCAAGTTCGAAAAAACGCACGAAGTTGAGCTCGCGCTGGGCATTGCCCGAAAAATCGTGCGTTTTTGCGAACTTGCGGCGCCCATAACGTGCTGAAATTTGCGCATCTGCCCAAGTGCCGAGCCAAATGTTGTTTGTAAAGACTTGCTCTTTCAAACTAATAAGGTCAAAAAATTAACTGGGCTGAACATGGTTCGCGCCTCCATTGTTATTACCGACATCTGAAAAAAAATTGAATTTGTGCCAAAAAATGAAAACCCACTAAATTTTCCTCAACCGCGACCAATTGAGAAATTCTGGGCGCTGACTAAATCCAAATATTCTAAGCTTTCAGAAACGCCAGATACCTTACGAAAATTTAAGAACAAATGGAAGAAAATCAGCTTGAAAGTACGTGCGGTCTATGGGCGGAATTTGATGCAAAATCTGAAGAAGAAAATGCAGTCTATAGCACATTGCGGAATTGAATCATTAAAATTTGAACTGTATGGCAATCCAGACCCTTTGGTGGTAAACATATGCAACTTTTTTGAAATTGCATTAACTGTGTGTAAAGTTATGAGCATTTTATTGCGTCAGTCGGCGACGTTAGTGGACATTCTTTACACAGAAATCAAACTTTACGAGAAATCACAGGTTGTGAAAATCCCAGAAATCACATCTAAATCACAAAGTATTATCTATATTATAAGCTGGAAATGTTTGTCTGCAACGGAAGTGAAAGTAAATGTTATGCAACGGAAGTGAAAGTAAATGTTCCGCAACGGAAGTGAAAGCAGGGAAAGTTAAATTTCGAATGGCGCGAAAATTCAAAAATGTTAATTTTAAAAATAAATATCAGAAGATGGGTCGTTGGTGCCTTATGGTGGTTATACATGGTGTGGCAGCCTGATGTGGTTATCGTGTTGCGGGGTCCTGGTGGTGGTTATCGTAGCGTGGCGGCTTGGTGGTGGTTACGTTAGGAGTGGTTATCTGATTGTGCTTATCTTGAGGGCTTTCTGATGGTGGTTGTCTCGAAAGTGGTTATCTGGTGGTGGTTATCCGGGTGTGGCTGCTGCGGTTATCGGGGTGTGGCGGCATGGTGGTGGTTATCGGAGCGTGACGGCCTGGTGGCGGTTATGTTGGGATTGGTTATCTTGAGGTCTTTCTGGTGGTGGTTATCAGGGTGTGGCTGCCTCACGGTGGGTATCTGGGAGTGGTTATTTGATGGATTGTCGTTTGGGTGTGGTTGCCAATGCAGATAATTGCCAATGGCGGACTAGGCTGATAAAGATGGCAGAGCCAAGTGGGTGCCAGACAAACTGCCAGTGGCACTGCCATTGCCACTGGCAGACTGGGATGGCAGACTAGGCTGGTAAAGATGGCAGACTAGGCTGGTAAAGATCGCAGAGCCAAGTGGGTGACATTTAATTTTCCACTTTAACGTTCGTTGCAAATTGCTTTCACTTCCGTTGGCGTCAAATTGTTTTTTTTTTAAATAAATATCTACAAAATATTTAACTGGTGAAATTTTGATAATCTAATCATCTCCCGCCCGGCGGAAGACGGGCTTATACGCTAGTTAGATACATACCACAATTCAATCCCTGATTATCCACACGTTCCAAAACAGCTTAACATTTTGAGTCGTTTCATTTAAAGTGTACCCGTTTAAGGTATCCTAACTGTAAAAAGGTGTCAGGATTTAGTTTCGGGTTGGATCTCGGAATAAGTTTATGTCCGTCCTTCGGATTCCCAGTTTCAAAGTTTATAGGAGTATTCATCTGTACACTGTTAAAAATCTGGTTACGCTGGTATCGATTGGTAATAATTGCCTACCGGATTGGTCGTAAATTGTTCCTGAGTGGTAAATTTTTCAATACCACGACATTACTGAACGGTGATTCCCGTCAATACCGGTAGAGTCACATGTACTCTGGTCGGTAATGATTTAATACCAGTTTCCTAAAAGTTTAGTGACACATTCATAATGTGAATATTATGTGTTGTCCTTGCTGCTTTAAATTCTTCGGGCTGCTAAATATGTAGTTTTCTTGTACATACATCAACTTATGTATGTGATTTTCATTGTGCGATAGAAGATAGTTTTTGGATATTGCTCAAGTTCGCCATATTATGAACTGAACTAGTTTTCTAGAAATTGTAACAAATAATTGCCAATAATTTTTTTAATGTCTCATTTTCCTTGATTGCTTTCTTACATATTTCTACTCCCTGAAAGATTTCGTTTAGAGAGGAAAATCTTAATTTTCTACGGAACCCGCTCTTCCGCAGCATATCTACCAGAATTAGCTCAAAGTCCTGAGCTGAAGCTATAGTCTGCGATTTTTACTGGAAAAATTTAGAAATTAACAAACAAAGTAGTGTGTACAAAAAGGCAGCCTTTTTGCTCGATTTTTGACGATTGAATCCGTTATATTGTCATCTATAACGTATTAAACAAACTAAGGATATACCTACTTAATGTTTTTAAGATTGTACTGGAGGGTTCTGGCTTTTATCGATACTTCAAATTTGTTGAATACTTTTCACTAAATATTTTCAGGGTTGCCTCTATAACGCCATCAGCTTAATTAATGAAATTTTGGGCTAAAGATCATATTTGGGAAAGGTATAAATGAATAACTTTTACCTTGATTTTATCTTTAAGGGTTTTCATCTCATCTCGCTCCAATTTGCAAAAAGGCACCCATTTTCGTGGGGCAAAAAGGCAAAAAAGGCACTGCCTGCCTTTTTTCACTGAAACAAAGGATTAACATAATCAATGATCTAATTACACATGTATGAATTAGGATCTAAAATACCTGATTCCATATTTAGGATCGAAGTTTATTTAGGTTATCACACTTAAGCAAGGAATACAAACTTCATCCCGGAATTATTATTTCCCGTCGAAACCTATTTTTTAACACGGCAGGTGGGAAAAAGTGGAAAAAACGGGAAACATTGTTTTTACCGGAATGTATTCCGGCCTATATATTTACTCATGGAGAAAACTCCTTTAATAATCAATATTTTCTCACAACGCGATGTTGTGAAGTGTAACCCTTCGATTTGGTTGAAATTTCGAGATTGTGTGGTCCATGTCAATACAACCAATGTTTCTTCAGGCAGTTTGTGCGATGGTCAAAATTTATTAAAATACTTGAGGTCAAAGCATAGAATATAAAGAATTAGAAGAAGCACTCTGCTCTTTGTTAAGCAAGTAAGGGGGATGACTCTCCACCTCACATACGAGAGGTCGCCAGAAGCCCTCAATGTTAAACTAAATGGCAAACTCACAGAGTTAACTCCTACTCCATCTGTTAATAACAGACTGTTATATGAGGTGGAGCATCTCTTTCTGCATCTTCATATCGTGGTGGTTAGCTATTCGTCGCTAGAGCCCTCACTAACACTATCTCTTATGCATTTTGTATTTACCCCATTGGCAAATCCTACCCATTGGGTCAAAGTTGAAAAACGGGCGATTTTTTACCAGGCGAACGGAGCAAAATCAACCTCAATTCTCTTCCCTTGCTAAAAATTGCACATTTTTCAACTTTAACCTCAAATATGTTTTCAAATTCTGACCATCGCACAAACTGCCTGAAGAAACCTTGGTTGTATTGACATGGACCACATAATTTCGAAATTTCAACCAAATCGGAGGGTTACACGGCACACTATCGCATTGTCAGTTGAACTTCATACGTATTGGACATTTTCATGAATTTCTGGAAATTTTGAAATGTAATCAAGGCACTTATGACTAATTTTTCTTGTTTTACCAATTTTTTCATATTTTATGTTCTTTTCAAAGTTTTTTTTAGAGATTTTAGAGATTTAGAATTGAACCATATTACCACCTTACTTTCTCAGCATTTGATAGAGGATACGAATATTGTGTTAAATTTTGAACATCTAAATAAAGTTTTAAAGAAGCTGTTTCCGATTGCCCCAAACCAGAGTTTGTCCAACTTCTTACATTCTTCCAATTTCCAAATTATTTTGGGTAGGTGATAAAAATGCCTTTGTCCCTGCCATTTTTGGCTTTAATGCTCACCGTATACATAACTTTATTCATGGAATGTTACCCTAAATTTCGAGCCAAATTATACATATATTTATGTATATGTTCGCAAAGAATATGAATTAAATTACAAACCGAGAATATCGTACTATTATTTAGATTTCCAGGAAATTTTTGCTTCGAAGGTAACTAAATTATACAAATTTTCCCCTACTTTTCCAAAAGTAATATTTTTAATTCCAATAATTTCGAAATTATATGGTTCCTAACCAGTACAACAAGAAGTAATGGATTTCCCAGCAAACTAACATGAACAATGTACATAAACCAATCTGGTGTCCTGATTACAAATTTGCATATGAAACCCTATTTCATAAATAATTCCGAGAAATCGTTGCCAACATTCTGCTTGTTTTTTAACTGGAAATTCCAAGAAATGTTTGAGGTGAGTGACACCCTTCATCATGTAATACTTATCCCCCCCAGAATTGCACAATGTTTATGTAATGCAAATAAATTCCCGGCATTTCAAAAATTCGAAAACTTCGAAAACGCGCTAATACTCACAGGAACATTTGTCGTAGCAAAATTCGGAGATTGCGAATTAAGGCCCCTACCCTAAATTCTCCCATGTATTATCTTTAGCCTAGATCATACCTGTTCATCTTCATTCATTTGACTAATTATGATAGTGAAGTGAAGGCTTCCATCTTTTCATGTGAATGACTGTAAATGAAAGTCCGATGAAGTGAATTTGAACGAAAATGACTGAGTTCGAATGAAAATCTTCATTCAAAAATCGGAATGACTGAGTTTTGAATGAAATCAAAATTTTTGAACAGGTACATATGAACTAGACATGCGTACTAAAACAACTCTATTTCCTCCTCCAAAACAATAACCACCACAAGAACAACCAGACAGTCAATATTTGTCAAACTACTCCATTTATTCATCAACATTTCGGAGCAATGGGTCCTCCCTTCTGCTTCATTTCCCAGTAAACCGAACAAAAACCAGATTACAAATAACAAATAATAAAAATGGTCCCAATTCTGATCAAATTTCTTCAAAAATTCAATCAGGTCACACCTGTGTCGAAACAACTTTCCCTTTAAAAAGTTGAAGTATACCCGTTCGAAATATCTATAAAAGAGAAGAAAATTTGCAACTTTGTCATATTTACATACCAACATTTAAGATTTTGTCATATTAACTTAAAAACATCTCAAAATCAAATATCATGTCCAAATTTCCAATTTTCTTCTTGTTTTTATCCGTAAGATTTTTGGAAACTTAAAGAAAAATTGTACTTGTGGTTTTCACAATTTTCTTAACATTACATTTTTCAGATCTTCTCCATCCTAAACCTTCCTAACTTGCCGGGGGTCGGTGCAATTAAACCAGTCGGGAATTTGACCCTGCTCGGTAACAAAAAATCTATATTACGAATTTTTAAACAATATCATCCCTCCTAATAAAAAACAGCACCTTTTTAATAATTTTCTCCCTCTGGAAACTTATTTGAAGTTTTATACGACAAATGTAAAACAAATTGTTCCGAATTAAAGAAAAATATAGTCCAGATTTTAGCACTTTTTCAAGTAGGAGATGTCAACTTTATGAAGCCTGGAGACCAATCAGATCTCATTAGAAAATTTTTCAGCCTTTCCATTCTTTGAGAATTTGCTGACTACAATTTCTCCAAAACCTTGAAATAAATTCCCCCACGTGGAAACAAATCATTATTTACAACTTCCTGCGTTAAGTGGGACGACAGGCATCAAGGGGTCACATCCTTCCTGTGATGTTTGTAACGTTTGTAACACAGACTAGGGCATTACAAAACCGGTTTTTCAGATTTTGTTTTCGATTTCCCCGAAAACCGGTTTTATAATTTTCCAACAAAACGGCTTTGTAAAAAACCGATCTTATCACACTCGAAAACCGGTTTCCGATTTTTAATAAAAATTGTCTTAGAACTACAAAATATTAGTGATTTCTCGTTTTTCAAAAATCAATTGTTCTGAAATATTTGTCTCCAAATTAATGCCCAAAGTTTGTTCAACTTTAGATTTTACCACATTATATTTAACGCATTTTTAAAATTTAGTAGAAAACCAGTTTCAAAAACCGGTTTTGGAGTAAACCGAAAACCGGTTTTACGAAAATTTAAAAAACCGGAAACATCGAAAACCGGTTTCACGAAAGTTTTCCAAAATCGGAAAAATCGAAAACCGGTTTTTCAAAATTTTCCGATTCTAGATGCCCTAACACAGACGCGATATTTTACCCGCTTGTGATCCTCTCGGTTTTAATTGAGTTTATTTGATACTTGGGGTAAAATAATGAAATGATCAGTGCTCATTTTATTTACAAATTAAGGAAATATGAGCAAGTGTGGTTAAATTGTTTCGCCCGACTTATTCCATACAATTTTTGGAAAACCCGGATTAAACGTTAGTAAACCCTTAGCAAAACCCAGTAAAATGTGATTAAACCACTGTAAATCCCCACCGAAACGGTGTATGTAAATGTCGACTAAAACCTAGATTGAAACTTAAAAAAACAGGTTAACCCCGGGATGAAATCTAAATAGAAACCTTACAAACCCTTAACTTGACCGAAAACTATTTTAGCGCCCGGATTTATCCTGAGTGAACGTAAAAAACCCGCCACCGCCGTGGCCACCCCGGTTTGTCCGGCCCCGTCCATCTGTCACAGTAGGAACTGTTGCACCTACATCTGCGTCACGGGGGACGATTGCGTTATGATCACGGGAAAGCCGTTTTGCCTCACACCTGTACCCGCCGCTCCGCCTATCCCGGCGAATGCCGCCGTCTGCGTGGAAGACAGGTGCTCCGGCTGCCCCGTTAACTCGATCCATTGCAATGTTCCCTGCGGTACGGCGGCACCGGCGGGTAGGATTTTCTGTGACTTTAGCAATATTCGAGGCCCTTTACCTGCAATCGGGTAGATTTGTTGGGGTATTCTAAATAGATTCAAGTGAAGAAAGAATCCTACATAATTTGCAAATTCGTTTCTAAATAAGTATTTTTTAATTATTTAATAAGTTTATCTAGCCTGGTAGTTACATAATATGATTCGTAAATTATTCATAATTGTTATAAATAATTGATTTTTTTGGAGGATTAAATGATAAGAAGGATTAAATGATAAGAAGGATTAAATGATAAGAAATATTTATATACCGTGCCGAGATTCTCTCGTACATACACTCTAAATAATTTGGAGACAAATCGTCACCCCGTGGAACTACTATGGTGCTCTACTTCTGGGTAATGATTTGCGAGATGATTTGTCACTATTGGGAAATATGTAACAGTCGGGGTTTTGGTGGCAAACTTTAATAATGGTCTCACAAAATATGCTCACAGATTTGCACCAAGCTGGTGTCAATCGATTATAAATTGCATTTGTATGAAATTTGCAAATGGTAATGCTCAGATTTGATAGAGATATAAATTTGGAGTGACATAAATAAAAGCGAAATTTATGCCTCAAGAAATGAAATTTTATGGGGGTTGGGGCCATCCATAAGTTACGTAACGCAAAAATCACGATTTTCTAAACACCCCCATGTTACACATTTAACATGTGTAACATAAATAGGCACGATATCATTCGAGCCAAAGACCCCTATCCCCCCTTTGCTTTACGTAATTTATGAACGGTCCATTTTCAGTTTTCGAAAAACTTTTCCGTGTGGTACTTTCACTTAATATATTTTGACGAAAATTTGTTTTCGCCAATTTGACTTTCGCCAAACTGACCATGACGAAAAAAGCTGTCCTTAATTTATCCGGCGAATGCATAAATGTGGATGATGAGAGTGAGTATTTATGAAGTAATTCCGGGACAAATTTCAGAATTTATGAATTCCAAAATATAAATATTTAAAGAAATGAATTTTTAACGAATGGCTTAACTAACAATTGAGAATAAATTGATTTTAGCATTGGTCAAATTAATATTTATGATCGCTAGGTTGTTGAATTAAAATTCAAGCAAACTAATTTTTAGAATCTTTTATCGATTAATACAAAATGTAAATATTTCTTAAATATGTTCCACCCAAGACTATATAGAATTTTGATTCCAAGCGTACATATGTACAAATATTTTTAATTGCACTTTATTTAATTCCTGCATCTTTTTTAAATTTAATTCAAGCCCTAAAAGTAGCCTTACATAAATCAAAATTAACAAATTTAGCAATACTTCACAATCCAAAACGTTTATTATCGAGTTACAAAAAAATGCTTGAATGTCAATTAAGAATATCAATTTATTTTAACTTTATCCCCCATAAATTGTACAGATTCCAGGCGTACAAATATTTGTAGTTGCAACTTATTTAATTTTCATGCAATTTTTTTTAATCCTCGACCTTGACAGAAATCTGCAATATTTTAAATTAATCTAAGCAGCGCCATGCCATGCACGGCGCCAACCCATGTATTGTAAATGAGGGGCACGCCTTAACCATTATCTTTACACTCTGAATAATTTGAAGACAAATCGTCACACTCGGATGTACAATAAGTGTGTAGTCCTCTATTTTGGAGTGATTTTTGCAGAGACGTTTTGTCACCAAGAAAAAGTTCGTGTACCCAACACAAGTTACGTCGTTTTTACAAAATGTTATATTTAGGAAAAAACGTTTATTTTTTTGTAAGTAACGACGTCACGTGCGTTTGGTGCATAAATGAGATTTTGACTTATATTTTTTCCCTTGGTGATAAAACGTCTCGGTAATTATTACTCAAAAATAGGGAGCTATCATATCCCCCATTATTTAGAGTGTGCCGAATGCTAACCGAGTTACATAAATATGCGTGAATTCCAGTATTTATGTTTCTCTCAACTACATTTAATTATGTCGCACATACATAAATTAAATATCGTTACATAAAAATAAGAATATGTCACCAGCGTTACATAACTTGTGGACGGTCCCCAATTGTAGTTTTACAAAAAAATCCGACAATCGATCTGAACCATATTTATCCAACTGAACCAATAAACTCAAGGTTGTACGAGTAAAAATCCACTATTTAAATCGACCCAAAGCTGCATAAAATTTGCATTAAGTATTTCAAAATGTTCATCATTACGATTTTTATTTTCTTCCTTGTCGCTGCTGACGCCTCCGTCCTTTCTGACGCGGAATGGACGGCAGCAATAAATCGCAAATTGTGCGAAAATGGGACACACAGTGATCCCGTTGCGGCAGATTTTTTTGCCTGTTACGACGAAGAGATTACTCCGGTGAGGTAGCATTTTGGCAAGGTTTTTTAGACAGAATTTTTCAAATTTATGCAAATTTACGCAAATTTATTTCGTTCCAGGGTGGCGGCCAGTTTGTCAGGTGTCAATTAGAAGTTTTTGGCGTGCTAATTAACACCGAAGAAAATGTCGACAGCGTTTGTGCCCAGGGGGACAAATTTCCTCAAGTAAGTGCATATTTACATGGCTCGTAACTTTCAGTTTCACTATTAGTGCAAACTTTGGAAAATTTGCAAAACTAATTTTTGCAAATTTGAAACATAAAATTGGGTCCTTTACATAATTTGTGTAGACAGACTAGTAGCAAGACTCGTTGATACATACTTTCATTAACTAAGTTTTTAATTTTTACGCAAATTTGCAAAGTTTGCTGGCAATTATTTCATCCAGAAATTTTGAAATGAATTTTTTCCTGAATTTTTTCAGTACAGTGATTGCATAATTCTTGGACTTATCGGGATCGGAGTCAACCCCGCCGTTGCGGTCCACTTACTCAACGTATGTGCAAATTAATAAATACTTTGCAAATTAAAAAATAAGCTGAGCTACGCACTCTCAAAAAAATATTGCAGAATCTATAAAAGTAAATACTGCGTGAATTTTGCGTTAATTAAATGAGCTATAGGGACGCAAATCCTGTTCAACCCAGATTATGTTTTGACCATCTCAGCTTAGAAAGACCAACTCTTTAGAAACAACGTTCATTGCGGAGCTTGAGCAGATGCGAATATTTCAGCAAGTTATGGGTGCCACCAGTTCGCGAAATTTCAAAAGGCATAAATTCTTCCGCCAAACTGAGGGATTTCGCGAACTTGCGGCGCCCATCAATTTCGCATCTGCACAAGTTAATTCCGCTCTAAATTTTGTTTCCAAAGAGTTTCTCCTTTAATCTGAGATGGTCAGAAAATAATCTGGGGTAAACATGGTTTGCGTTCCCAGAGGGATATTTTCTCTTTGTTACACGTTGACGTTACCCTTGATTTTTTTACACTATTTTTAAAAGTGCATAAAGCATGTATCAGCTTTTTCTTACAGGTTTGCCAAGGTGCCGTGCTGGACGTGCCAGAACCACCACCCAGACTAATTTCGACTAAATAAATATATACATAAGTCGCAATCTGTTGCGAAAAATAAATACACATAAACGGAAACCGTTTGTATGAACAGGCGGTGCTAAATAAACGATTTTACTCAATTTTAAAGTGGTACATACATACATTTTATACAAATTTCCGCAAATAATTATTCCCCACATTTTAATACGAACCAATTTGAATATTTAACGGTATACATTTAAGTACACTTTCCTCCAGCAGCATCAATCTCCGCATTCTTAAGACCTCATTTAAATATTTGTAAATATAGTCAGCATGGCCAATTTTAATGCAGTACAACTATTGTTTTATCCTTTTTCCCTTCTAGTTTTCGTATCCACATTCTACCAGCGCCCGATCTTGGATTTTGGCGCCCTGGGCAAACACACATGGCGCCCCAGTCCATCTAAAAAATTTTAATTTCCACAACTAACTTGGTAATCAGGTTTTCATGCTTTTGTACTAATATTAAATTATCTAATAAAGTAAATATACTTTTTGGTAAGGACTTGACTTACCGCGTGTGAGATTAACTTAAAAATCCGCAATGCAGCCTCAGATAGCCCGAGTCAATATGCTGAATTATAAATTATAAATTTCATTTCAATTTCACTTCAGGTTTCCATTATCGGTAGTAGTAAATGTCGTAGATGTCGTAAAATCGGTATGGGTCGCTAAAGTTAAAATGTTTTCGAAATTTGCTTCATATTCCCTGATTACAATATTTTTAACTTCAATGCCAAATTTCAGCTCTCTACGAATGTTTAGAAATTTAGGTGCATAGTACACCACCAACTTATATGACCCCCATGGGTAAACTACTGAACCAATGACACTCATCTTCGAACTTAGCCTCCTTATTGAGGTATATCGAGGGAAATGTGCCACGTAACCCGTTTCCTTATTTATTGAGAGGCTGAGTAAGACTCGGATTCTGGAAGGTATCCACCACCATCAGGGTCCACCGCGTCAGGGTCGTAGTAGAATCATGTCTCATTTTGCTTCTTTATTTCTCAGTGGCTAGGTTCTGTTACGACTATAAACCGCTCCCTCAGAAACTTTGACCCCAAAAATCTCCTGGTACCCACACTTTTCCTTCGGACAATAAAAGCTGAAATTATAGCTGTTCTCAAGGAGAAAAATCTTGTATCGAGTTGTCAGAAATAAAAGTGCGGGAGCCATGAGTTTTTTGATTATCTATGTGAAGGTAAAAAAACCGCCGATTTTCGAATTTTGTAACCTTTGATGCATCAGAATCGTATTCAAAGGACAAGTCAAATGTCAAATGCTAGTTATGGTCTAATTCTTGTTACCCAAAGTACATTGGCTTTCTCATTTTTCCAGTTTCTTTCCTCAATTTTTGAAGGGAGGTGGTTGCGTATAATTTTAAAATATGTAGCTATACAACATTAATGGTTGCACCCAAAATTTTATATTTTATTTGGTGAAATCGATGTAACGCGGAATGGCACATTTCCCATAATATGCCTCTATTGACATTTTTTAAATTCATGCCAAATTTCAAATCGATTGGATGAGTAGAACAGAAATAAACTTTGATACAGACAGACGACAGACCCACAAAACGATTCCACAAGCCCTTACTCGGGCTAAAAGTGCGTCAGAGCGAGCATTATGCTGAATAACTTGCTACATACAGTATCATTCGTTGAAGAACATAAAGCCGTGGAAAATGCAAAGTTCTACACAAAAATTCTTCTGGCACGCTGGGATCCTAGTATGCCACTCATTTTTATGCAATTTTAAGATTATACAGGGGACAGTGACACTCAATCTTATCTATTGTACGCTCCGCCGCCTTTTCCCTTCGCAAAATTTTCCATTGTAAATATGTACCGTGACGCATAAACCATTTTGTTTGTATCATAAATTGTTGTTAAACTTCTTAAGATAGTACTTCTTACTGCGTGCCTATTTACCTAACCCATGTGTAGGTTAGATCTTGATATTTAAATTATGCAGAAGCGCGTGCACCGATTGATTAAGTGATAATACAACTTTCCCAAACTTTCCAAAGTTTTAGAGGGGCGAACTTGTGGTGCCCAAACTTGTGGCACCTTGTCCCAGATCAAGGGATACGAAGGCTCTTGACTGACTAACATTAATTACAATCTCACTTCGTTTCCCATTCAAGCAAAGAATATTTGGCAATTCTCACTTAATTCCATTCCGGTCCGGATAGATTCACGAGTATGTATTCCACACAATTTTTGTCCCTGATAATTCGCCATTTTAAATTCTCCCGCCTCATTGCCAGCATTCCGTTCGAGTATGATCCTAAATCTGGGAAACTTATCGTCATGAAGTCCCGCAAACGGAGACGCGTCACCCAAATCCAGTCACTGATAACGTTGACGTACTTGCTCGTCCTCCTGTACAATTTCTTCTTTGGAGACATGCCAATTCTGAAAAGGTTGCAGGGAGTCCCATTCTTGATGTCTTACGCGGTGCTGAGCTCCCTCGGGTGGAATGTGGGACTCGACATCGCCCTGATGCAATGGATCAATTCGATTCTCAACTTTGAACGCGATTTGTTACAAGGTACAATTATAATTTTATTTGATGGACAGACAGACATACATACACAAAGATAGACGGACAGACGACGGACAGACAGGCGGATAGACAGACGGACAGACAGGCGGATAGACAGACGGACAGACAGGCGGATAGACAGACGGACAGACAGACGGACACGCAGACGGACACGCAGACGGACAGGCAGACAGATGGACAGACACACAGACGGACAGACACACAGACGGACAGACACACAGAGGGACAGACACACAGACGGACAGACACACAGACAGCCAGACACACAGACGACCGACAAACAGATAGACAGCCAGTTTTTACAAATTTTACATATCTGTCAAATTACAGAGGGAGAAAGTATTTCGACCTCAATTACAACAAAGTTGATGTTCATCTTCATCTACTTGACCGAGTTCACCGTCATGGCCGTCCCCTCGGCGGTTTGCTTACTGCTCATGGTGGACCCCTGCGTACCGCCATTTCTGCTCTCGTTCTCGCCAAGTTGTTCCACCATCTCGTGGATGCCACCAGGACGTGAAATATTCGTCGTTTTGTTCGAAGCTTGGATGGCTCTGCAACTGTTCAGTTCTGGGGCGACGTGGGCTTTCTTCATCTTCTTTGCAGGAATTGTCGCAATGCTCAACTACTTTCAATTGCTGGAAAGGTTGCATTCTCAGAACTTACTAGGGTCTGTATTTTAAAATTAAACCCTTTTGTCTATGCATTTGTTTTGAAGACAAGGGTCGAATTATAAAATACCAACGTTAAGCTTTGCACTCAGGTAGACTTTTCCAGTCAACTTGAAGCTTGCTTAAATCTTTTTAAATTTTTCAAGTGCATGATCGGAATTTGTGTGCGAGCAGAAAAACCACTTGTCCAGCAGATTTAGCTTAATTTGATATTCGTATCGGTTTTACTTAACAAGGTCGAGCTGAAATAACTCTTTCGCATTCTAAATCACTATATATGCGTCAAGTCAAAAATAAAATTTTGTGATTCCTCCGCCCCTCCCATGCATGGGAGGGGCGGAGGAACCATGGCATAAGTTTCCATCTTAAACCCAACGAATACCAAATTTCACTCGTCTAGTCATATTGGAGCTAAAGCTTGAGCGGAATTTAAGCAAAAGTATTTTGTTTCCAGAAGTCTATCCAGCGTACTTAGCTTAAGGAAATAAATTTACAAAATTAATAAATATTTCTTGTCGTTTTAACAGCCGAATTTGTAAGGCTGTAACAATCTTTCAAAATCAAGCCTGCCTCAAGCTCTACAGGAGTATTCAAATCCTGGAAAAATATATGAATGGATGCACCATGGTGCGAATTGTCCCTTCGATGGTACTGTGCACTCCGAACTTGCAAATTATCTCGCAGTTCGTGAGTATCAAGCTGCACTCCAAAATAGCGATGCCCGGCTTTCTCATCTTCCCCCTCATCATGGTGGACGCCGTTATTGTGAACGTCTTCGTGTACACGTTGGCCTCCTGGGTAAACAGCACGTCCACGAAGCTACTTCAAACCCAGGTTCGACGAACGGTCCAATTTGGCGGGAAGAAATCCCAGCTGGCGAGAGAGATCAGGGCGTGTGGCGTACTGAAGATCAAATTCGGCTCAAACTTCATCGACAACGGGACCCCGCTAGTGATTCAGAACTTCTGCTTTAACCAAACCTTAAATCTGCTGCTGATCAGTGACGGACGAAAGGTGGGACGACGTTAAGAAGTTCGAACAAACGACGCAGTAGTAAGCGTCAGCTTCGTATGGTTTGATTTTTACAAAGAAGACCTTCCCGTTGTAAGTTTTCTATATTATGTAGAAACTCGTTTAAAAATCAAACCATAAATGCTTAAATAAGTTTTATTCTCTGTCATGGAAACATGTGCATGTATACTTTTATTAAACTTGCAGTCTATTTAATTGCCCTAGAAATTGAGCTATGTAATGATTTAATTCCTTAATTTGCAACCAACTTCAAATATATTGCAATTATTGTACACAGTTAGAAAAGACGTTTACTCTTCGACAAGCAAAATTTTTATTAACTGCATATTACGTAAATCACCCTACCCCATCACAAAGTAATTGGGAAAAGTAACTCTAGATGAAGAAAGTGACGCAAAGTACCCCAACATTGTGCACGTTTAACTTCATATGAAGGAGCGATGTCATACATAGCGTACATGCCAGATCGCAATACCCTACATGAAACAAGGCTACCCCATATAGTCAGAACTCGGCATGGTCTATCACCCACATTGAGTTAAACGCCAGCATTTTTTACTTTCAGTCAGTTTCCTTCCCAATTCATCCAAGATTTCAGTGTTGTATATAAATCTTAGTAAAATTAATTAAACGCTAACAATTATTAATTAAAAATGGACTCGGCGGAGGTCAAGCGTCTTTTAACGCAACTGGATTTGAATGAGTATATTAAAACATTTGAAGGTATTCATTTATTTTTTAAAATGTGTAAATTATCAAATATCTAATAAAACGTACTTATAATTTTGATTTAGAAAACAATATAAGTTACGACACACTGTTACAACTGGACAATTCCCACGTTCGTGAACTTCTTCCTCGAATAGGAGACCAGATAAAACTTTGTGCCGCCATCGACAAGATAAAGAAAGGGGATATCTATGTATGTTTTATGTGTAATGATAAGCATAATTCTTTGGCGTTGTTCCAGATTTTGTAGTTTTGTTTGTTAACCATTGCATTAAAAAAAGGTATTTCACATTAGATACGCTTAATTTCCGGTTAGAGTCATTTAGTTATGGAAGGCATTATGCGGCGAGCAAACCCTCCTTGCTTAAAACTTCCTTTCTCAAAGGAGAAACGAAATCATGCCAGAATGCATCTCAAAATTTGTGTTTAGTTTTATTTTTACCTCTCCTCGTTGGAGATTTAACACAGGAAACTGACCCTGTCAATGCATTATTGGCAACACTTCGAGGCTTGATTGACCTAGTTTTATCTAATAAAATATCGCGTGGAGGAACAACGCTATTAAATAGTCTGATTTCCGAGTTCTGCTCTAATTATCAGCAAGTTTTTTCGAAGCGATTAAAACCAAAACATCATCATTTGTTACATTATTCAGAATCCATTGAGCAAATTGGACCTTTAAAGCAATACTGGAGTATGGCATTTGAATCCAGACATAAATTTTTTAAAACCGCAGCTCATGCGATTTGCAACTTTCGTAATTTGCCAAAAACTGTCACTTACCGACATCAAGTTTTAAAATGTTTTCGGCTCTTGGCAAAAGATTGTTTTACTGAGTGGTCATTCGAAATCCCACAATATGAATACATTAAAGTTATGAAAATGAAGTTTCCCGAAGTTGTCATCAACCGGAGTGCTGAAGCAAAAGTGAAAGTGTCGAATTGTATTATTTCAAATGGTTCCGAATTCAGAACAGGAAGTTTAGTTTTATTGAAATACTGTCCACTTTTTCCGACATTTGGCGTAATAGAGAATATTATTTTAGAGGATGATGAGTGTCATTTTATAGTAACGACTTATGAGAGTGAATTCTGTGAAAAATATTATAGTTTTAAACTTGGAAAAAATGGCGAAAGCTTGTGTATTGATTTTAGCTCTCTGTTATTTTATCAAGCTTTATATACATACGAATCCTTCGAATTCAATAATGTCAACAAATATGTCGTCCTTCCAACTAAATATGCATAAATATAATTTCAAGTGTACTTATCTAAATATTTTAGCAGCTAATTAAGATTTTTAATACATAGTGGGGTCATAAGTTCTCGTGAATGCATTTCCGGTAATAAATCCCAAAGTATTAGAGCTATCTGTTCGAAATTTTTATGGATTAAGAAGCTATTAATATTGTTTAGAAATCATAACTTCTTTGTCAAGATTTCGTCCACGGGCAATTAGACAAGACATAACTCGTGACGGCCACAGGTTGATCGTGGTACGCGCCAATTTTCGTGCCAAAAGTATTTCAGACTTTTCACCGTTGGCAAAAAATTTAATAGAAAAAAAGGCCAGATATTTGTTGTACAGAAATCTGACATCCGTTTAAGTATGCGGAAGTCAATACGAAGTCATCACCGTGGTGTGCATGGGAGCAAGTTGGCTGGAGAAATGAAATCTCTGTTTTTTACCGCAAAGGGTACAAGTTGAAGCCAAGAATTATTTTCAGAGTGTCCTAAAGCCAAACGTTAATAACCTGAACCCTGGACCCTCCGAAAATCGACATTGGACCTTTCAACAAGACTCTGTTCCTGCGCAAGGTGCAAAATTGTCCAAAACTGGCTTCAGACGAATTTTCATGACTTTTTTTCATCCGTAGAACGGTGCTCAGTATCTGCAGACCTTAATCCCCTAAATTATGACTGGTGGTCAAAATTATAGGTACAAGTATGCTCTAAATTTCACCCAAGTGTGGAAGGGCTGAGGTCGCACTTACTGAAGATCTGGCGCTTTTCCCAGGAAATCCGTGCGTGCCGCGATCGAGCAGTTTTCGCCACGACTTATGTCTTGTGTACAAGCCCGTGGAGGAAATTGTGAAAACGAAGTTATGATTTCTAAACAAGATTAATACCTTGTTCATCCACAAAAATTTCTATCAGATAGCTCTAATACTTTGGGCTTTATCACCGGAAATGCATTCACGGGAACTTATGGTCGGACTATGTACGTTCTATTCCGTTAGCTACATATGTAAATTTGAAATACGTTTTTATGAGTATAGACAGGGAATGTACCAAGCAGTGAAAGCGTTGAAAAGGTGGAATCGCTTTTCGAGGGATCATTGATAAGCAGTAATGAAGCTCGTTGTCGCGGATTACAACTTCCTCCGGAACTTGTGAAAAGCTTCAAACAAAACCCTGCAACTATTCAGACGCCCCAATCAAAATTTATGCAGGTAAGATTTTCCTCAATGAGGTCAATATTTTACCTCATTAAAACTGCCTAGGTCCCCCAGATTGACGGCACGCCGGTCCAGCCCTTGATATATATTGCTGGGGACAATTTAAGTGAAAATGTGAATTGCCACGAGCATGAGGTAATCCACTACGAAATAATTCAAGATACTGCGGCCGCGGCGCAACCAGAGCCAGATAGGTCGACAGAAGTACAGGGAAAAAAATACTACGGATTTGTTAGTTTCGTCGTTTGATTCCGTACTTTTACTTTGGCAATGTAATAAATTAAAAAAATGTAATTTCTGATTAATTTTGCAGAATATCGAGGAGGTTCTTCTCAAAGACTTTGCTAGTTCAAAGGTGTTAACGACCAAACTTCCACAGAAGAAACTAATCATTTCAACCGACCGTCGAGCAATTGCTGCGGCCCTAATAGATAAAGTTATTTCAACTCTTGGAACAAGGTGAGTCGGATTAAAGAGACATGTTGCAAGTTAATTAATGTACAAATAATGAATGTCCTTATGTGTTATTTTATGCCAGCCCAAGTAAAGTGGCTTTAGAGCAACTGGCGAAGGACCTGGTTCTTTTGTTTCCTGGCCTAGGGGACCCTCGAAAAGAAGGCCGTGGATATGAGATGTGGTTTTTCCACTCCCATCACGGACTTGGGGCATCAGGATTTTTGGAAGACCGGCTCAAGAATCAAAGGAAGAAGGTTACTTCCAATAAGAAAACTCAATTAAATACTGAGTCGTTGGACGCAACTTTTTTAGACTGGTCTTCAGAAATTGAAGATGGTAAGATGGTGTTATTTAAGATAATATTTAGTAACCAAAATATTTAGCAATTTCATATCTCGAATTATTAATTATATTAATTATCCGGTTGTTTATTTAATGAACGATTTTTGACTTTCTTACTTAGAAAATCCTACGCCGGACGAGAAAGAGTTGGAGTTCCTGCGTCAAAATCACGGCCAGGAAATCAAAATAAAGATGAAAGAGACAGTTTTTCAAAGAAGAACTTTCATTCGCCAACAGACAGGAGTGGACGGGTTGTTGAGCATTATCAAATGTATGCCGAGATTGGTTGATACGGAAGGAATGGTAGGAATGTCCATTTTCGAACTATAAAACACTCAGTTTTGAAATAATAAAACAGTTTCCTTTTTATTGCATGCATTTATAGATAATTCAAGATTTCGACGTGAGACATCCCAAACTGGCCTTGATATTGTACGATAAATGGCCAAAGGTTTCTAAACTACTGATGGACTACGCTGAGGAGTGTGGCATTGACTTTGCAGACAAGATTGGAGTTAAAAAATCAAGATACGAACTGTTGGATGGTACGTTGTTGAAACTTGCAAATGTTTAATTTTATAAGGAATTATTTTAATCAATATATTCTTGAAAATTTATGATTGATTATAATTTTTAAGATGATTTCCAATTGTTGGCTTTCGCTTTGCTGCCATACATTTTACCGTCATGTGGAAAAAAGTTGAAAACTGGTGACGACAAAGAATCTGATGCAGTCGCGCCCGCGAAGAAGGGAACGCGAAAACAAGCGAAAGTTGTTAAAGGATCGGATAAGGATTCAATGGCTAGCATGATTCAGTTTCGATCAGTGAGTGCAAATTTCCCAGTACCATTTTAAACTTATATTTTTTTAAATCAGTTATGTATTCAATTTGTTTATATTTCAGCGAGCTACTCATGTTAGTGAAGTAATGCAAGGGAATCGCAAAGTTGCACCATTTATTCTGGCCCTTGGATCAACATGCAACATGGAATTTGCAGAATTTTTCGTTGTCATCGCTAAGTGTGCTATTCCATGCGGTCAAAAATTCCTCAAGGCGTTAGACACGAAGCATGAAGTGCTTCACGGTTCTCAACATCCCACCGCCAGTGGAATCTTGCGATCACTGGAAATTTATTTTGAGTGGAGTTTGTGGCATGCCGTATGATATTGGGCATCTTCCTCCGGTGGTGCAGGCACTCAGTGGACAAATTATGTCAAGAATTTCTTAGGACGTATACAGACTTGTATTAAATAATTAGCTAAATAATCTTATTAATATAAATAAGGTTTAATTGTAATGATGAATTGACATATGCTGTTACAATAAATACAAATGAAAAGCAATACCCTATATATGCAATTTATTAACTTCATATAGTTACTCTCCAGCATGATATGTGATAATAAATATTGTACTATATGAACTAAGCTCTAGATCTTTTTACTTCATGTGGGGTACGAAATGTGGGTTATACCGGGTACTGCAACTAACGTTATATAAAGCACACCGACCTCAATGTAGTAAAACGGATTACCCCATGATATTTTTCCCTAAATATACTCTATGTAGCATCACTGCACTTATTACTCCGTTTGAAGTTATTTTTTACCTCATATAAATGCAAAAATTTTAACTGTGTAAATACATAATACTAAATTGTACCCTTATTAAAATAAATTCGAGGTACTTTGTGCTAAGACCTTGTCCGTCTGTCTGTCTGCAAGCAGGGTAGCGTGGGAACGAATCGATATCGGTTTCCGGCATCATACGAATCACCCCAGGGGGATCAATTTTTGGGGTAGATTAGACCACCCCCGTCGGCCGGGGCAAATGAATTTTTACTGTAGTTGAATCTTTAGATGAAATAAATTGAAATTAAATGTTTCTGTCCAAACATCGTTACTAACGATTCGTTAGGGCTACGTGAGACTGCAGCTACTTCTTTATGTGCGTTAGCTTGCAACGGTTTATTTATTTTTCAACTATAGCCAGATCAAATTTTGCACTCGCACCCAACCTTGAATCGCCCCTAAAATCCATGCATGTCTAAATCCCAAAAGTTTCTTCTTCCTTCAACGTTTAGTCATGTCCAGTATTAAAATTTTACTTGTGTTACGAATAAATAGAGACGAAGTGCAGTTTTGATTTGCAACCAACGATTTGCAACTTACATACATATATATAAGTTGATTTCATAATTATCAAAAAAAGTTAATCCTCCATTTACAAGTAATGTTAAAATTTTAGACTTCAGACTACTTTAAATGAACACCTTAAAGGAACACCTTAAAGGAAGTTCGGAAATATTTAACCACCTCACACCTCATTCCAAATCTGTATTTCAATAACAACTTGTAAGTTATACGTTATATGTATAAGGTACAAGTCACATGCATCGTTTTCATAAAATCTCCAATAAATGCAGACAATGTTGCCCCAAAGATTTTCGTCTTCTTACCCCCCACACCTCATGGAGGAAACATGCCCCACATTGTCATCCCTTCACACAATAGGGTCCAAGCTATTCAACGTTTCGCACAATTCAGCAGCGCCCTCTATACGCAGAGCGTTACGTGGAATACCAAAACCCGCCTGCCAGAGCCAACCCCCTTCAAAAAACTGGTCCCCTTCCACACAATGTCAGTCCTACTAGGGGCCTGGACATCCTTCGCATTTTACACTGTGACGAGATGGATTCTCTTTAATAAAATGGACACTTCCGACATTTCTCTAACCGCGGGAATCCTGCTTCTCCTACATCTCAGTCTGAACACCATGTCCGCCACCATGATATTGACGAGCATTCGCAAAACCGAAGAAATTTGTCTTCTTTACGTAAATTCTAGACTTCTCAGTGAAAAAGTTGGGTCTGAGAACGGTAAGAAATTTAGTTTAAGGCCGAGTTTGCCGAGGAAAGTTAGAAAAAGTTTCGAGTTTCTACCACATTTTGAAAAGGTGGAGAAAGTAAGAAAAGTGGACAAATTTGTGTCCACTCAGAATTTTTTAATTGAAGATATTTTTCTCATTTTATCCAAGTTTATACATACATAGTTAGGGAATGTTCATAAATTACGTCGCCATTATAAGGGGAAGGTGATTAGGTCTTCTTATCTTTACCATGTTAAAACTCCCTATCGTTTAATGTTTACGTTAGGGTTAAATTTAATGCACCACCGAATTAGCTGAAATTTACCATAAATTTTAGCTGAATTCGCCACCGGATGAATTTTTTCCAGTTTTAGCCTTTTCAGCCACCGATTTAGATAGTGGTTACCATAAATTTAGATGAACTGCCATCACAATATTTCATGACGATAAAACATGGGTATACATATGTTTAAAAAAAATATAATCACAATAATCTCAAGAAATCATGCTAATTTCCTTATCACTGCATGTACCTATGTATATATTTGTATATCATTGACTACACTGGGCAGGAGAAGTGACGTATGTATTACCTTTCGGCTGGTCATCACTACCCTCACAGTTGTGCAGTTAAAATATATCTATCTGAACAACGTTTTTTAAAACCAAAGAAATGACGTGTTCGCAAGTTTTTAATTGGACCAGTGATACCGTATTCTCTCTTTCTAAGGAAAATTCTCCCAAATTTTAGAAGCTCAAGACCATTTGCGTCTAATATTCCTTTAGAGAGTAGTGGAATATCAGGCTTAACTGGATTAATCCAATTCGAATCCGACAGGGTAGGATTGGATTGGATTTTTTTCTGACCCAATAAAGTTGGATCGGATCGGATCTGATTGGATGTTTATGACCCGACGAAGTCGGATCGGATCGGATTGGATATCAAAAAACATCAATCAAAATACACTATGTATATGTAGAAAGCAGTAGGAAATCGAATTTAATCCGATTAATCCAATCCGACAGACTCGGATTGGGTCGGATTATTTTAGGATCCGACCAGGTCGGATTGAATCGAATTTTTTAAGGATCCGACCAAGTCGGATCGGATCGAATTTAAAAAAAAACATCGATCCGACTACACTCTAGTTTCCTGTGCTAGTAGTGGGTGTCTCTTAAAAAACCTGAGACATGTATATAGACGTGTTATACAAATAAATTAATCATATTATTGCAAATTTTATGGATTTTATAATCCTATGCTCATTAAATATGGTAATGGCAGCTCATCTAAATTTGTGGTAACCACCATCTAAATCGGTGGCTGAAAAGGCTAAAGTTGGAAAAAATTCATCCGGTGGCGAATTCAGCTAAAATTTATGGTAAATTTCAGCTAATTCGGTGGTGCATTAAATTTAACCCGGTGGGGTGGGTGCTACAATAGAGAATTTTGATGACCATGTGGATGAATGGCCCCTTTAGAAATGCAGAAAAGATGGATAATTTCAAATTTTTTCTAGATAAACACTCCAAGAATTTGGACCCACTCGGACTCTTTCTCCACTTAATCATCCCGCCCATCCTTTTCATCCCCGTCATAGCGACGCTGGCCCCCTGGCGGATAACGGTATTGACCCGTACTACGTTTTATTCAGAAATTTTACACATTACCCAAAATATGTTACCCTCCCAGTCCGCATGGTCTTCATCCTGGTAACCCTCCTCCATTCAACGACCAATCTTCTTACTGCCCTTCTACTAGGTGCCAATTGGCTGCTAACTATCAAATCCTGTTTAACCTCGTTGTTCTTTCAAACTCAGAAAACTTTCCTTTCCGAAAAAAATGTTTTATAACACTTGATAACTTATCGTCAACTGCAAATCGTTTGCACACTTTCGAACCAGGCTCTCTATCACGTTTTGCCGATGGGAATGTTTATCATATTTTTGTGTTCGGTGACGGTAACCTGTTGGGTAATTAAGTTACGTAACGCCATCATTGGATACCATTGTTTTGACGGGAAGCTTGATTCCCGTCTTGTGGGGCATGCCGCACTACATTTTCCGCTGATGGCGGATTTGAATTCACAGTCGGATAAATTGGTTAGTTCGTGGAAGGTGGAGGCGTCCACTAGAAAGGCCATGTGGACAAAGGAGGTTAATAGTTATGGGCCAATTAGAGCGTACGTGGGACCGTTTTGTTTTATGAGGAGAAAGACAAGGACTGAAATTTTTGCGGGGATTTTCTACTATACGGCGTCATTGGTGATAACTGTGAAAGTGTAGGGTTCAAATAAATTTATTTGTTGAATTTCAAAATTGGAAAAGTAATAATTGGTTCGTTATTGATTTATTCAAAATCTTAAGTTTAACGTATACTAATTCATGATTTATGTATTTGTTCGAAAATCCGAAAATAATTGATTTTACAGGTATTATGCATTATTGATTTATTTTTAATCTGATATTCTCGAGCTCAAAAGCTCCACCGATGAAACCCTCTCTATGCTTTTACATAGTATATATTCCTGACCAAATTTGAGTAAAACAAATTAATTCCAGAGGACATCAATTAGCAATGTATATATTCGCTGTGCGAAACTACATTTTTGCACTACTATTTAAAAAACGCAACGCCGATCTAAATTCTACAGTAAGTAAACTATACTAAATTCCGAGTAACCTTTACTAATTTTCCAGTTCG